CGAATAGTAAACTCGGACAAAAATAAATTTTGTCGTATTCTTTCTTGCTCCTTATGTTTGTTAGCTTAATTGGTACAATCCCAACATATAAAAAATGAATATTCGCATAATGCAATACATTTTTTTTTGTGAAATAAACATTTCATTACACAAAGAAACTAGTTGTAAATGTGCGCTACGTATGGCTTCCCTCAAAGCGTCTTCTTGTAGCTTTGTTGAACTAACGAGGGAAGTCCTTTAAAGTAAAACATTAAGTTCACAAAATGTAACTGTACCCCATCGATTTAAAGCTTCAAGCGGGAGATGGGAAAGAGTTGTATCAAGCAGTAAGATAGACTTTTGGGCTAGTTGGTTGATTGGCATAATGAAAACGAGTGCAAAATAAACCGCACAAGGTCGAAGAAAAACACACGAAACAGGTGCCTGCCCTGTTTGTGTGTTTCTTCAACATTGTCGCGTCTATATCGAGCTTCTTTTTTTTTTTTTATAGTCTCTACAAAAGTTGCATTATAAGAGCATTGAATGTACGCTTAATAGAACTTCAGAGTAGCACCTTATTAAAAGATGAGTGTCTAAAAATCACTTCGGACTATTCTCTCCGGGATTGCACTTGGGACCATTTTGTCTGTGGCCATTTCGTCCAGGGCCATTTCGTCCGAGGCCATTTTGTTCTGCATCCTACCATGCCATATTGCTCGCGAAAACTGTAAGAAAAGCAGTGACCACGTTTCTGGGCTTTTTTTTTTTTTTTTATGCCATCCCATTCTCCTAACGTTTGGTGGGCGACCTCAAAGTAGCGAACGGGGTTCACCGGCAGACCGAGCACTAATTTTTTTTACACTGTGTTATTATTTATAAATTTGAACGCACAACATATCGAAGTTTAGTTTTGCTTCACTCAAAACGCACTTATAGAATATGCCTATAGAATTATTTCGGGGTATCCTTCTAGACATAACTGCTCCTTGAAATCGAAAAACCACCATTTACAGGCTGATTTATTTCTGAAGATAAAGATGACTGCAGCAAACGACACTAACTTTCCGCGCAGCAGGATTTTTGATGCCACTCGCGGATGGGCCCCAACTCTATTTTTGCGGCTTGACGCGTGCCGCGAAACAATCAGAGACGGGCGGTGTCATGACCACAAGATAGGACAACTGCATTCTACAAAAAAAAAAAAAAAAAAAAAAAGTTCCTTTGTTCTATTTATTTTTCATTCATACGCGCAAATATACGTATATTGTTTAAACACGAAAGCAAGTTAAAAAATGTCTCTTGTTACTAAAAAAACACGACGCCGCTTAACCACCGTATCACTCATTCAACACGACACGCACTTTTTTGTGTGCGTGTGTTGCTCATTCATTGAAGTTTTGCACCTTTACAAATTTGTATGTAGTTTCTTTGTTGTTTTTTTCGGCGGGGGGGGGGGGGGGGGGGGGGGGGATAAAGTACAAATGCGATTTCCGCAGGTACAGATTTCTTCAAATAAACATTAATTCAATGACCCGTTTGGTTTATACAAATGAGTACCAAAAATTAGCTTTATACTAACATTTCTTGTTAAATAAAACACGGCGAGCAGTTACGTTTGCAAACGAACGCCAGTGTTCAGACCGCTGAAGCAGGTGGTCCGGGAGTCAAAGGCATCGAAGCCTGTTTCATCTGTGGTCGGAGGCGAAGATTATCTCGGCTTCAAATTGCACGCGACTTGGTAAATAACTACGGCATTCCACCTCTCTAAGCTTTCAAGGACTTGACAGCTCAAACGGGCAGCTTTGTTCCCACAGAATGGCACACCCAATTTCTCGCGTGCAAAGCCTTTCGAGCCTGGTCATTGTGTCCCCCTATCCGGTAGAAGACTTAAGTGACCTTCGTTTTCGAAAGATCGCTTTATCTTTTTCCTGGCTGCAACAAGAACCCTTTTCGCTCTCTCCAGGCCGGAAACTAGCTCTGCATTTCTTTTTTTATTTTGCATGGGGTGCTTTTGGTTGAGAAAGCACGCTTCATAGGGATCTTCCCAGAAATCGGTTCTTTTTTAGCGAAAAGAACCCTTTTCTGCTCATTTGGCTCCTTTTTTTCTGAGAGTGAAGATTGCCGGTCTTAGCAGCCTATTAATCTGGGCTCGTTCCGAGCATGCGCTCTAGACATCCCCCACAAATATGGCACCCAGTGAATACTCCTTATACTAAAGACCCTTCATGTTTCAAAAGTAGCGCAATGTGCATCGATGCACGAGGCACGTGCACGAGGCACGTGACGCTGCTTGATTTGCTTCATCGGATCAGCGTTGGTTGCGGTCCGACTTTTCGAGTGAAACGTGATATTGTAGTTGTATTCTAAAACCTGAAGTCTAAGATACGGCATCTAGTGTGCGGCTGAGACCTGAAGTTTTAAATGCCACACAACGTTCGGCATGATGAGACCACGAACGCGACGTTTCGAGGAAATTTTGTGAAAGCCTAAACGTATAAAAAGGGTGTAGAAATTAAGCTACCGAGCTGCGTTCCTTACTCGTTTTATAGACTATGGTGCCTGCATGTCTGTCTGTCTGAGGGTGAAGACATCCATTGTTGCCCCGAATGTGCCAGCGCGTGACGCTCTCGCGCACTCGGTGCGTGACTTGGGCGGTAAAATGGCGTCTATGCACTAGCCAAAGCTACGCGCTCGAGCTGAGTGACACCGGATTGCGCGCGCTTCAAGATGCATAAAAAAACGATTGGGCGGAAAAATGGCTGAGATGTCACCACTCAAGCAAAAGCGCGCGTGTGTATGAAGGCACTCAATTATAGACGTTTTTCGTTCTCAGTCACGTGTGTTCCGTTCCGTATCTGGTATGAGGGACGAAAAAATAATAAAACATTTCACCCAAGACAATAAAGGTGAAGCCAAACAAGGATGTGTGGCAGTCACGCATTTTTTGCGAACACCTTCCAGCGGAGAGGAGAGATCAAAACGAGATTTCAACGCATACCAGAAGTGACGACATTTAAGATGGCTGCGCCGTTGTGGGAAGGCATGGAGAATAGAAGGGGGGAGGGGGCATGACGTCAGACGCATAGCCTCCACAAGCCATGCTCCCTAGACGCCTCGCCTCTTTCTCATTTTCCTCTTTACACTCCTCACTTATCAGTCCAACATAACCACATCACGTGTCCGTAGCTAGCCCTCGTCTAACCTTCGATCTGATAAAACCTACCGGACGGAGCGCGCGCAAGCCTGCAAGGAATCCTTCTACAATCAACCATCCATCTCGCGCGTGACATGTCACGCGCACAAATCGCCAGAAAGATCTGCGGTCACGTTGGGCACAATATAGATTAAACTTTTTATGACTAGGCTTCACCAATATTGCAACGTGCCCCCTCCTAGTACTTCTAACCTCCTTGGGAAAAGGTGTAAAGCTTGCTATACTACAGTGTACCAAAGTGTTCTAGTACACTGCAACTATACTCGGCTGCACCCAAAGCTACAAACGCGAGCTAGCCCGCGCTTCTGGCTTTGAAACATGCATTTCTAGCGCGAGCGCTCGTTCTGTGGAAGAACGCTTGAAAGCGGCGACCTCAAACTCTCGTGCTGTAACAAAAAAAAAAAAAAAATGGTTGTGTGTATGGTTTACAGCCTAGAACTTGGTCTGCCTCAACGGGCGACGAGTCTCCCAGTTGTAGATGAGAAATTTAGCCAGTGTAGTACAACCTCTAGCCTGGGGTCACCACGCAGTAGTGATACACGACCGCACGCCGGTACGATGCTCATCCAAATCGAAACGGTCAGGGAGCTTTCGCTCCACGTGCTCCGAGCTAGTGTGCGCTAGCCCACTCGGCCACCGTAGTAGACAAAATGTTTAAAAAGATTTTCAAGAAAGCAAACAACTACATCAGTGCTAGGATGGCGGTGCAACGATTTTCGGACTTCGGTCAAAGATTTCTGCAAGTTGCCCCCTGACATTTCTGAAGTAAAGAACAGAAAACCGATTTCGCCTGCGTGTCCTAGTTTTTGCGTAAAAAAAAGATAAAGATTAGTATTTCGGGCACCCCTAAACTCACTCCCAGTCTTCAGGGTCACACCTGGTCGCACTCCCAGTGACGTCATTCGGAGTGCCGTGTAGCTTCCCGTGTGCTATCTCGGAGGACGCTTCCCCTCCCTCTCTCTGCGTACATTAGCGGGCGCTATGCTGCAGCTTAGAGCCGAGCGAGGTCAAGTAATCTTTCCGCCATAGTTCCTACGGCTGCCACTTGGGGCTGCAGGTGGGGGAAAAAGCTCGACTTTTGCTTTGCGATTATGCAGCGGAATCGCGACATTTTTAATGAAGGAAATGTTTTCTCTATCCTCTGGGACACGATAAACAACGTAGAAATGACGAGATGCAAATTCTTTTAATCATAAAATCGCTGCACCGCCCCTTTAATGCAAAGGGGTAGGCGAGCTGGACAAGAGTGACGAAAATAATCTTTCGAGAAGGGGGACAAAGGACAAACACAGCTCTCTAAACACAACTAGGCGACTGGTGAGCGACCGAAGACATCTGTCTAGTCCTGGTAGGGAGCGTCCCTAGGTCCTGGTATCGAACCAGGGACCTCTTTATGAGTGAAGTGGCGAGTAAAGAGCCGGGGCAGCTGGGGTGGCTGTCTGTCAACGGCACAGAGATGTCAACGGTGTCACTTCTGAAAATTCAAAATGGTTTCGTTTTGGTGATGTGAATAATATAAAAAAATCTAGTCTTATTTTTATGCAATAAATGCGCAATAGCATACTAAAGATACTGTGCAGTAATACTGATACGGCCTATGTGAATTTTCTTTTAAATATGGCGCCACTTACGCAGTTTTAAATTTCAGATGACTTTATAACATTTCGAGAAATACTGGTTGTACGTGACTTTTGAACCTAGTAAATTTTACCTTTATAAGTAATTTAATACAATAAATATTATATTATCTACAAGTATTACCCAAATATTTAATAAAATACTTACTACACGTCGGCTGTGATATGCTCTCCGCCAGGCAGTATCCGCATCCGCCGGAAACTCTGAAAACCGCGGAAATTTCAGGCGGCAGTTTTAGCGAGTTTGGCTTTAGGCTCGGCGCTTTTCTATTTTTTCCAAAGAGGTAGCGGATTGAGTCAACCGATCGACAGGATAACATTTAATACTTCCTTATTAAGGGTCTCGAACTGTCCCACTTCGTGCCTGCGGACGGGACACCAGTCCAGAAGATTACAAAACAACAGTCTTTCCAGCCGTATCCAACAAATGCACGCTGCTCCCATCTTGCATCCCGCGGTAAAAACATAGAGCTAGTCTTCCGGACTACTCAGATAAATCAAACATGCGCCGTCGTGTCGCTGAAGTTCAAGTCTCTGACAAGGAACCGAACCCCGTGCGGGTTGTGTTGCTCCCAAGTAAGTCTGCATCGCCCGCACTGTTGGTCTCCATGTTGATCACCTAGCACCATGTCACCACGATTCAAAAGCTGTGCTCGCCGTTTTGATATTTACAAAAAGACAGAGGGGGAAACGAATTAGCTGAGAAGGGAGAGGGAGGGTCATTATTTTGGTTTCTAGGCTAGGTGGCGCAAACTACTGCACGTTATAATGGGTGTAGCCATAGCACCCATCCATCCATGGTTGTGGGTTTTTTCTCCTCTCCACTCACCTTTTTTCGAGCATTCGCTTTGCTAAAGTAGAAAGAGTGGAGGGCTGCGAAAGGAGCTTGTCCTGCTAATCTTTACTGGCAACAGATTATGAGGAAAATTCTCAGGCTGGTGCATCTCTCTAGGAGATTGACCCAATCACGCTTTATTGACTAGTGTGCATTTGTTTGTTGCCTGTTGTCGGTAACTCCGAGATATTACAGTGGTGTCCAATAAGGCATTTGCGTCATTCCTGTGGACAGCGTTGGTTGTTTTTGTTTGTGCTTTCATATACCTTATCTGTGTCGAATGCAGGCAACTATTGCAACTTTTCTTTTAAAAGTAATCAGATATGGCTTATTCCAAAAATCTAAACTAATTATGGAAGGCAAGATATGGATTTGTCTTTTTTGTTGCACAACTACTTTCACCAACTCCGCTTCCTAAAACGATGCCCCCATTCACTCACACATCATCCAGCGTGGAGAGCGAAGTATCATTCCACGTAATGTTTTTCGTTCAGATTAATCCTGACCAATTCAATAATTTCTTTTATTTAGTCAGGATGGTGTCAAAGTATTTCTGTCTTTTTAATGCCCATATTGAACGGCCCTCTCCACCTCGCAGAAAGCTTGGTGCCAGAGGAGGACGAGAAACGGCATGCTGTGATATCGCTGCCCCATCCAAAAACAGGTGACCAATCTAACAAGCAAGGAACCATTACCTATGAAGCATTGTTTCGACCACGGACGGTATAATCGTGAAACTGTGGAATCTTTTAGGTGCACCTGCACTCTTCGTGAGAAGCGATGCGGGGCAGTATTTTGAGATGACGAAGTTCAAGGAGAAGTTTAGGTCGTGGTTTCTTGGTGACACCGTCGAGTCCGGTGGGTACCGCTTCCCCTACATTAAACTTTTTTCTATTCCTGTTCATCCAAAAATCTTACATTTGCAGCTCTAGTGTTTCAGACTGCTAGGTTCCATGCAGAATGCCCTAATAATTGACTTTATATTTTTATGAATCCCGTTTGTTTTATGTACTTTAAAATTTCTAGAAATCTATGTATCGTTGATGTTCACTGGGAGTCTCCTGACAAGGAGTGTCACAAGGAAAGAACGTAGAGGGAAAGAACTAGAGCACCATGTTTAATCTATGCCAGTAGCCAGTACACCAATCACCAGATATCTCCAAGGTCGCAAAGACCCTACTCATTCATGCCAGCTTGGAGAGCTACCCAATACTGCTGACACACCCTCAGTACGGTCCAGCTGTAATTTGGGAATTTCTAGAATACAAATTCGTGTAGGTGACGAAGAAAAATACTGCTTTAGTGCACCTGTAATTATATAAATCTATACATGGTGAACAAAAACAGTGCCAAAGACAAGGACAAAAGAGGAACATACACAACAGTGCTTGTCCTGTTTTGTATGTTCCTCTCTTGTCCTTGTCTTTTGCACTGGTTTTGTTCACCTTGTATAACAAATACCAATTAGCTCAGCTTTCAGTTTTATCATATAAATCTAATATATTCAACGCTGTGCGTCAGCCTAGTCCTTGTTCTGAGTGAAGCTAACATAACTTTAGACACCAGATGTTTCGAGCTCTTGAAATATCTGAAGCTTGATTACTTTAAAACAGATCACCTGCTGTATACAGCCTTATCCTTTGTGAAAATGTTATCTAGGGAAACGCATGTATTGGTGCACAGTACAGAAGAAATGCCGTGTTAACTCTCTACATCTTGCAGATGGTTCGTTGTACATTGTGACACCAATGGATCCATTATTTTTTGCACTGGCACTTATGCAAAAGGTAGGCAACATTTTACTACCGTTACAGTGTAGTCGCACGAGCAACCCATAAGCAGTTGTCGTGCAGCAGGGTTTTTTTCACATGCTTTCGCTGCATGCATGTACAGCCTCCAGATTTTTTAACTATATTTTGCAAACATCGACCGGCTGGAAAATCAGCGCCTTATCGCGGCGCGAAACAGCAGGTCAGCGAGACAACGCGCGTGTGCAGAAAGCACACGCCTAGCCTCGCTGACTTGGCTGTTTCACGCCGTGATAAGGTGCTTATCTACCGGCCAGTCAGCGTTTGGGCAATATTGTTAAAAAATCTGGAGGCTGCACATGCATATTTTTTGCTGGATCAGCTTATAATATAGCAATGCCTGTATAAATTATGACTACAACTTGTATTAAAATTTTGCTCCTGTAGCCGATAGTATCATACGATGGTGGGAAGATGACTTTCTCGCAAATTTGGACGGTGCATAAAACTGAGGCGTACCTTTTCTGATCACAGAGCAACAAGTTTCGTCCGTTGGAAGATTTTGCCGAGGGCAACGAGTTCCCCACGTTATCAAATGTGCTGAAGGGCTGTGAAGAATGCATCCAGCACATCGCAGATGTGAAAGGTATGTTTGCCACTGTTCCAGGGGTCCGAGTGTTTACGCACGGTTGTATGTTGAGAAACATTTTGGCACCCTCGCAACCCCTAAAAGTTTAAGTTGACACAAGCCTGTAGACCAGGGGTTCCTATACCTATGACTCTAAAGGGATGCCCAACTCTCTTCATTGAGAGCCCCCTCCTAGTCTCAGCATCATTGCAGAATCATACATACCTTGTAAACAACAATGCTTACACTTAAGAATGTTTGGCACCTGTTTCTGCATTAATGAAGGACTTAAATGTTTCAAAATATTGCTTAATCTGGAAGAACACTTTCCATACTTGGGGGTACAGACAGCCGAGGAAATATGGCAACTCGGAAAACCCCTGGGTTTCTAAGAACCTATGTTTTAGACAACAAATTTGGCTGTTTGCACATTTCAATAACCTTGATTTTTATGTGCCAGAAACGGTGGAGTTTCCTGCTCTGCAATGCCATTTTTTCCGTGTCTGACCGGATAGAGGCTCATTGCGGAACCGAGATTTCGGTTGCACGTTGAGAGGTCCTCAAGCGGTTGAAACTAATTCTGAGCCCTCCAATGAGGGGTGCCAGATGCCCTTGTTAGCTTGGCCCGTAAAATCCCCAGATTTGACTTTCTCCGTGTCTGAACTGCAACAGGTGGCCCGTCTCAGTGTACATGGATTTTTGAGTCTGACGTAGGCATGCCATTGGCTACGTACATCCTATTGATCAGCATGCCAAATGCTTGTTTGGCACATATTCTTTTGTCTTTCTCCCGGAAGTTTTGGGAAACGACAAAGTGTACCGCCACAACGAAGCCAAGGCCCTCGTCTGGCTGGAAAAGAAGGTGTCGGCGGTGTCAGGAGTTCTCAAGGCACGGGACATCACCGTGGGGGCCTCCTGCAAGAGCTCCGCCTTGGTCAGGAGCAAGAAGGACAGCCGCCCCACCGAACGTGAGTCCACTCACTCCCAGAACATGCAGCACACAACACAATCACCCAAACGTTCATACGATCGGATGTTATGCAAACGTGTCTGGCATTTTGGCTCTTACGGCTCGAGGATATCTGGGGAGACCTTGAAACTCGTCATTCGAAATAGCCGATTACTGTCTTCGAGTGAGCTATTGGGTGGTTATATGTAGAAAGTCAAGCAAAACTCTTGCGGTATAGAGTCGTCTTTAGTACAGTATGTGCTTTGCTTTGCCCATACCGACGAAGCAAAGCTAAGTCTTGCAATAATTGGTTGTCGTGGTCTTATTAAGAAAGAGTACACAAACAATGCCAGCGAGTGCGGGGAAAGAGTTGGCTGGTGGCAAACCAAAGTCATTCACTGTAAGTTAAACAGACTGATGTATGCTGCGCTGCAAAGTTACACTTAACACATAAAGACGTAAACTACGAGATGATATGAAAGACAGTTAAAGGGGCCCTGCAAGGACTTGTTTACTGGTTTTTAATTTGCACCGAACCTTAGCGCACTGAACGTAGTAACTTAGTGAAGCTTTTCTGTTCTCAAAATTCGGTTTATTTTAAAAGTTATAGGCAAATTAAAATTACAAAAACAAGCAAAAAATAACCTCCCTCATGATGTCCTTGGTTGCTTGAGTGGCCGTGAACTAAAGGAGGGGTAGTGAGCTCATCGAGCGCTCACGGCTGTCGCACTCCGTGTCGGCGGCGTGAGAGGGCGCCACTAAAGCATGTTCTGGATAGGCTGTATGCAGCGGGCGGCCAGAGCGGCTCTCATTGCATTTGCTGCGCGACTAAACACTAATTTGGCATGACACTTCATTGGCCACAAACGACAGCAAACACGGGGTAAAGATCAGTTCAGAATGGGAGCCAGTTCGCGCTGCCATACCGCGAAACGGCTAAACTTCTTGCCGAGCCAGTCGGAAAAGCTTCTCGCCGAAGGCCTTTGGAATGCTCAGAGCCAGTCGGATCCTCCTGTCCATACGACCGCAGCGCCGCCGCGTACATCCAGGACCTTTCCGTGTCGGCGCCTGATCCCACTACTCCTTTCTAGAATGCGCCGCCTTTTCCACTGCTTGGTGGCGGGTATGTTGATGAGTCATTTCTTGTTTCCGTACCCTATAAACTGCATTCGTTTCTTTTCTGGTCTAAAATACTGAACAAAAACTACTTTTATAAATAATTTAAACGGTTCGCGCCACTTATATTTTGCATTTCATCTAAAAAGAAGCTTTTAGCAGCTCTGACCAGTAGTAAGCCCAGTACCAAAGACGTCACATTTTGCGCGCTTTCAGTACCGCAGGTTACCCTCGTCGGTGGAGGAGGTTTCCACGTCGTCCGGTTAAAATATGACGCACTGCCATTTAGTTACTCTATCCGTGCCTGCTGGCTTGCCCGAACCCCAAGAGACGTGGAAACCACAAAAAAGGTAGACGCTTAAATATGATTGCAGGGCCCCTTTAAGAACATGACATACTTGTGAATGCGCAGACTAACAACTGTTTATTTTTTGTTTCTTCTTCCTTTATACCTTTCTTTTGAAGGATGAAGATTGCCTGATAATTCATGGAATTGAAAATTAATGTCTTTGCGGGCAATAGACCGATCTCACTAAGCGTTTGGCGCTTGCCCGAGGCAGCCATAACTTTAGTTCACAGGAGGCATTCGGCAGTGCACGAGACTGTTCGTGCCCTGCACGCGCAGAGTTCCAGCGAGGTTGCCGCACACGCAGAAAGACTAAAGTTCTCTCGATGCATTGCGGCAGCGGTGGCGTAACCAAACTGGCTGGTGAGATCGGTCTATTGTAGACAAGGCGGGACTGGAGTTTAGATGACATGTATGTACCTGAGAAATCGTGGAAAGGACTGGGACGATTAATGTCTTTTCTGTCATTTGTAGACAGATGATGCTGGTGGTGCTTGTGTTTACGCTCTTGCCATCCTGGAGCTGATGTTTGTCCTGTTATGCTGCAGGATCTTTTTAAGCAGTTCTATTTCTCTTTGTTTTAAGGCTATTGAGAAATAGCCTTAAACGAAAAATAAACAGTTGTTAGTCTGCGCATTCACAAGTAAGTCATGTTCTTAACTCTCTTTCTTACCATCTCATAGTTTACGTCTTTATGTGTTAAGTGTAACTTTGCAGCGCAGTATACATCAGAATGACAAACCAACTAGCCCAAATCCAAGCATTGTTAAACAGACACTGACAGGGTATTTATGCTCGCCAAGGTTTTTATTTATAGATGATATGTGAGAGCCCAACTTCCCAGAACACAATTTGCGGCTCGAAATTTGTTTTCTTTCTGCCCGAAAACCGCCGACCAAGAACTGACCGGTTTGAGTCACACCCACTCTCTTCTCCGTGGTCACGTGCTGTTTTCTATGGTTTAGACACAACCACCAAATATAATCAGAGTCGTGGGTCATCGAAAGCACACACTCAATATTAAAAATAGAAAAGGAATATGATACCCATTTTGTGTGGCTACTAAAAAGCCGCAAATAGGTTGATTGAAGGGAAAGGTAGTTACACAGCCACGTGACTTCCGCCAACTCTCTCCATCTCTATATTTCTTCTTCCTCCCCAATCCAGTTTCGGTTTAGAGCAGTTTCATTTTTTGGCTTTATTAAAAATATATGTGATGCTGTAGCAAAATATTGATTGGGTAGTCTTCTGATGGCCTTAATAGATCGCCTGGCAGGAAAAAAAAAAGAAAATTTCTGGGGGGGGTGTTAGTGTCCCTTTAAGCTCCTTCATATGGAAAAGTAGTGCAGTTTGCCACAGCACATTCTTTTTTCCTCTTCTAACCTTTTCCTCCCCAGGCTGCACACTACCATTTTTTTTAGCAGGAGTGCCCGTGAGGAAAGAAGTTTTGAACAGTGGTCAGCGTTACTCTTTTGCATACAGGGGTTTCAAGTGCGAATGAGTGTGACAGCCTCAATTGCGTGATTTCTGTGTTTTCTTTTCAGAGGACTATGTTGCGACTGCCTACTCTATTGTGGCCGACTACATCTTGCCCGAGTTGAGTGCTCAGCTCAAGTCATCCCTAAAGTGAGCAGGATTTAATCGGGTGTCTGGGAAAATAGTTGAAACCTAATCCGTTTCTGCTTTAAGCTTACTGCAGTCAATCTTGCACACTTTAATTTCAAAAAGAAGTCCTGTGCTCTGTTCCACCTTACAATGTACTACCATAACGGAAGTTATAAGCCATGTTAATCGATCCAGTGCTCCACGCATGCCATGGGACTTCAAGTGCCGCGTGTCGGTCCACCCAACCGAAAGGTCATAGGACAAACTTCGAGCTATGGCTTGGCTCTAGTGGTTCATAGCATCTGTTGCAGTACATCATAAGGTTAGATGGAGTATACCTATTTCATTTGCTGGTGCTCGAAGAGCATAGTTTATTTAAGTTGTTTAGATTACTTGATTATATGACTTGGAAGGCTACTACTAATACTGTTGCAGCAGACCTGAAACTCTTTCCCCTCTCTCTTTGCTTATTATGTGTTTGTACAATTGTTAGTCTTTGAGGACGAGCAAGTAACCTTATACTGAAACTGTATTCACCTGCTTCTTTCCGAAAAGGCTGGACTTGAAGACTGAAAGGATCGTTGAAAAGACACCAGAAGCACCACCAGCAAAAGTAAGGGTCCTCGCCGCTTTGTGTTCTACTGTCTCATTCTCTGCCTTACAATGAGGTAGGCATGTGCAAATGGTGGGGGGGGGGGGGGGGGGGGATTCTGAATTTGAAGCGAATGGTGGTTTTGTCTAAATATTTTCTAATTGAATGTCGAATAGTTTTTACAAGCCTTTCACTACTGCAACATGCCTAAAAGAAAACTCAGTTGAACTTGTGAAGGTTGTTACCAAGCTTCCACTTGTTAATTTTTTAGATAAGCTAATTTTAATCTAACTATATTTATTGACTGTTTCCTCCGAAAGTACATTGGACATTGGAATGGCAAGTAAACAACACATTCAATATAAAATTAAACCTATAGAAATGCACAACTATGCCCAATCAACAAGATTTATAAACATTCTTGCTAATAAGCAAATCTCTTTTCTTCAATCGCATATGATTAACGCAGGTTGCCAAAGCATGTCTGCTTAACATATACTTGTGCATGCCAGCTTAATTTTGTAAATTTCGCTGTAATGTAGATATTAATATTCATAAAGTTTTCGTTCCTTCCTAAATACATCAGGCGCGTGCGTGCACCATCCCACCTTGGAAAGAAGCTTTCCTCCTATGCACGCTGCTGCCATATTTGTACTTTCTGAAGTGTTGAGCGCACTTCTTACCAAGCACCGGTGTACTGCGGAGACGCTACACTCACAAAAGCGAGCTCCGCGGGTGTTGCTTTCCTGCAATGCACCGGTGCTCGGTAATAGCCATTGACACGACGGACTGATCTACAAACGGATTGATCACGTGATAACATGTCCGTGGTTCGTCCGTCTCCCAAGAACATCCACACGAAGGAGACGACGAGCGGACGCCAGCGAGGACGAACCGAACCTGTTCGCCACCCCACAGTGCTGCGAAACTCCAACATCGCACCGCGGCACCATTGTCCAAAAGAGAAATCAATGTTTGCTACCGCAATAAAGAATCATACGCTGCTGTTACGTACAGATAGAGACAAAACACCGTGATAAACTTCGCGCAAAGCGCCACCAGCTTTTGACACAGGCATGGTCTTGCTTGAGAAGGATTCGGCGTAGAAGCGACGAAGTTATGGGCTCGCTGAGGGTCATTTGGAGATGCCTTCATACAATCGGTGCGCGTGCACAACACTCAAGTACACCATAGCCACAGGAAAGGTCTTGCTTGGTAAAAGCCTGATCGGATGTGCAAGAATTATTGCGGCATGCTAGACGGGTTTTGACGGGAGCTTCTTGACATGGACCTGGAGGAGTACGCGGGCCTGGGTCGTGTCAGCCGGACAATGTTTCTGCAGTTTCTTTCATGTGTGGAACCAAGAATCGCAGAACAAAATGAACCAGTAAACGTATAAAATGCAACGATGAACCATTTTTGTTTTAATCGTCAGAAAACCAAGAAAACGTTGTACCGTTGCCAGACTAAAAGCTTTTTAAGTCAATCTCCTGCCAAAAATCTGAGAGTAAAAAGGGGCTCAACTTTATCAGTCCGCGCGTTTGCAGACGAGGCACGGATTGCAGGAATCTGCGACGTGCCGGTCACTTGGTACATGTTCCGCGGACGAAAATCGCTATTCAGTCTTTTGTGTGAATTGGCTATAAGAAGCTTGCGCAACGGGGCTAACCTGCTGCGTTAACACTTAAAAAAATATGAATATATCACAGTTCATCTCGAGGCGAATATTGAATAGCATATTATTCGAAACTGCTACTCGAAAATTCGAATATTTGCACTACATTACAATAAGGCTAACATTTTCCGTAATATCTTAACCTCATTATTTTCTTAATTCAACCTCTGTCGAATGAGATGTAGTAGATAGTGCTATGTCTTATTCATAAAAAGCGTATAAATCCTTGAAGTCTCAGCGACATACAGTACAGGTAGTTGAGTCAATGTTTCAAAGGCTATTGCTGATGTAGTGACTTGAAGTTTTTTCCAGTTTTTCCTAAAAAGGAATTGGGACTTATAGGGGCAATGAAGGCAATTTTGGATATTTTTTTGGTCATTGAACTGGGTTCCAGGCAGGCACGTAGCCAGGATTTTGTTTCAAGGAGGGTCCACCCATGACAAAATGCTGTATGAGGGGGAGGGGGGAGAGGAGGTCCCAGCAAAATGGAAGATTTCGGGAGGGGTTGGCCCATGGGCCCCCCCCCTGGCTACGTGCCTGGTTCCAGGCATGTCCCAAGCAACGTTACCCAAATTTCAGCCGAAACCGGTGCTTGTGTGCCGCGCAAATCAATTAAACAGTCACGATAATAATCATACCAGGATCAATTGCAGCGACGCCCCGAGAATTGCGGGAGAAGCCAGGAAAAGCAGAGTTTGTGCGACGTTGCAGGGCCTAGAAGTGCGACATCACAAGAGATGCATCAGTGATTGGTTGAAACAAAAGATGTGCCCTTGGTCACGTTTTAGTTTGCGATATTTATGAACACTTTTCCGATTTCCACTCGAATAACCATGAAAAGTATAAATCGCTCTGGAAATGATTACTAAACCGTAAATAAAATAACATAATTATTTTTCTCTTTGCTACGCTGGACGCGAAACAAGCAATGAGCAACTGTGGGCAAACAAAATAAACGAAAAAGGAACACGGCGCAGAACACGCGGGAGACGTTTGGTTTTGGTTTCAGATGCCGGACTCCGGAATGCCTCGTAAAAAGGCATTCCAGAGTCCCGCATCCTTAGGAAGCATCTCCTGTTCCGTTGGTGTTAGGTCATTGAACGGGAGCTCGAACTCGCTAGCGAGAGCGGACTCACTCATGAGAGCGGCATTATTTTGTGTCTTCCATGTTGACAGGTACGACGAAACGACCGCACTGCTATAACCCGCCGCTGTAACCAGACTCTCGACATCCTAAATGCTATTGATACCGACTATTCATGCTTGGCGTCACTCCCTACGTCACCTCCTTTTTCAAAAGCCCATAAACGAGGGTGGAGATAGTTTAGTTTCGGTTTCTTCAGTTCTTTTGTAGGCACAGAAATACGTGTCACGAATGTCTATAAAAACTTGGGCAGTGTGCTAGGTTCCCAAAAAGCCTAAAAACACAATTAAAAAAAAAAAGTCATTAAAATTATCTTCATTATCCTTTTAAGAAATAGCTTGTGCGATCAGATCGAAAAGAGCTTTTGTTTCGATTAATCACTTGCGTCGAAAGGTTACATCTTGTTCTTTGTTTGGCTCTTTGTTAGCCCTAGCACATTCTTATTTTTGTTTTTTCAGAAATTGAAAGGCGCTGACAGCGTGCAGCCGGTGGAAGACTACAGCAAAGGCATTCTGAAGAATGTGAAGGGAGCTGCTGTAAGAATGAGCTGAAGACTTTGCACTGGCTCCTTTTACCTACTTATCTTTTTGTGCACCATAGAACAGAGCACCGTCAGTGCAGAATCTATATGAATTTCGGAAATACCCGAGGTAGTTAACATTGTGTGACCAGTACCAAGTGGCTGAGGCATAGGTAGCATATGGCTGTAGTATTTCATTTCTGCCTGTATCTCCTAGCTTTTGCCATGCTTTTAAAGGGACACTGACAGGGTACTTATGCTCGCCAAGGTTTTTGTTTGTACATGATGTAAGGGAGCCCAACTACCGACCACACAATTTGCGGCTTGAAATTCGTTTCCTTTCCATCCTAAGTAGTTGATCGAAAACTGGCCAGTTAAATCGCGCTCACTCTCTTCTCCGTGGTCCTGTGCCGTTTTCTATTGTTTAGACACAACCACCAAAGATAATTAAAGTCATGGGTCTTCAAGGCAAACACTTAATGCTAAAAATTGACGAAAATTATGATACCCATTTTTTGTGGCTTCTAAGAGGCTGCGATAAAAAAAGAAAAAAAAAAAGTTAGACAGCCACATGATTTTTAGCAACTTTCTCTATATTTAGTCTTCCTCCCCAGTCCAGTTTCGATTTCGAGCAGTTGCATTTTTTTTACTTTATTAAAAATATGTGACGTAGCAAAATATTGACTGAGTGGTCTTCTGACATCACAATAAATCGCCTGGCGAAAAATTTAAAACACAAAATGTTGTAATGGTCCCTTGGTGGATAGCATCCAAGTTCTCGCACACACTCAGCAAGGACACAGAACATTGTCTTAAAGCTTTTGCTTGATTGTTTGTGCTTGTGCAGGAAGCATTCTACAGGGTGATTCAAGGAGACGCCAGGCTCTTTAAATCGACCACAAAATTCGGTTTCTTAACCTATCGCGCTACGACTTTGTGCAGCGTTGCCCACAGATGGTGCATTTTTTTTTGTGAAATTTGCAAAGAGCAAACTTACCCGAGGAAAAAGTAGAGAAAAAAAAAGGCTTAGCTCCTATGGAAATGCAGCAACGCCACCGGTCTTCAAACAACACGGCACCGTTTCGCACGGGAGACAAGAGATGGTGCAAGCGGCCGCGACGCCAACTGCCGGCAACGAACGAGCATACGACGCCGAGAGCCGTCGTCTTTAGCAGACAAGGAACTGCAGTTCCTTGTTGTTATTGCGCCTGTTTTTGTTCCTGCGACTGTCGCCGCCTGCGGAACGCGCGCCACTTTTGAGTCGAAAAGATTGTCTGCTAAAGACGCTGGCTCTCGGCGCCGTATGCTCGTTCGTTGGCGGCGTTCATTGCACCATCTTTTGTCTCCCGTGCGAAACGGCGCCGTGTTGTTTGAAGACCGGTGGCGTTGCTGCGTTTCCATAGGAGCTAAGCCTTTTTCTTTCTTTACTTTTTCCTCAGGTAAGTTCGCTCTTTGCAAATTTTACAAAAAAAGAAAAAATGAACCATCTTTGGGCAACGCTGCACAAAGTCGTAGTGCGATAGGTTAAGAAACCGAATTTTGCGGTTGATTTAAAGAGCCTGGCGTCTCCTTGAATCACCCTGTAGCTCACTTTTGGTTGCATAAACATTTCCTGCAGGAGCGACGGCCTGAATTGAAGTTCCATTTGCCATGTTTGTTTTTTTAGACGCCCAAGTTGACTGCAGGCCAGAAGAAACTTCAAAAGGTTGACAAGACTGGCATGAAAAGCATCTCCAGTTTCTTTGCAAAGAAAGGAAGCTAGAATCTCATTCTCCCCTACGGCTGCATTGTCAAGACTCCTCGCATTACCTAGTATAGTATGTTTATCATCTGTTGCAAATTGTGTTTTGAACTACTACTTAACTGCAACTCAGAAATGCATATTATTCCACTCAAAACAATTTTTGAGCTTGTGAAACAAGCATTTGTGATGGCTTTGGGCCATTGTTTAATAAAGCATCTTTACATTATGGAGTACCAGGTGTAGCACTGGTTGGTATATAGTGGTAGGTGTGCCTCCAGGGGTATTGAAATGTCCAGTCTGGGGGGCTTCTCTAAAAAAATATGCTGAATGTTTTCCTTTTTATTAATAACAGTTCAATTAAAAAACTGGTAATAAAAAAGTACAGTTTTTTTTTTAGATTAAAAAGAATTGTGAATTATTCAATAAAAGAAATCCCATGAACTCGTGTTTACAAACAAACTGGTGTGCTTTTAATGGCTTGCCAGCAGCACCGTGCATGCCCGATGGGGTGTGGGCAAGGTGTGGGCGAGTTGGTTCATGTTTAAGCAATGCATAAATCAGCATTGGGATGTAGTGTTCATGGTGCTGGCGCGAGTCCCCATGTTCTTTTTTGCATTAGTATTGTCGGTTCTGAGTCTTGTTAGCAATGTCCGACTACTTTAGAAGCCTTAGCGAAATGAACAAAACTCTCTTATATAGCAAAACCTCAAGTCAGCGATTGCCACTGTCAACATCACAGTGTGTCTACTGTTTACACCGAGCCAATTTACTCCAAAAACTGTTAGTTTTTAGGTGCCTACAATTAAGTCGCATCACAATTATTGTGTTGACGGCACATAAACAGATGGTGGTATAAGGGCCGCTGTCAGTTGAATGTAAAGATGGTTGTTTAAAACGAGCAGACGGCTGCTTGAACATAAGCAACACATGCAATCCCGGTGGTCCCGACCACTTCGAGTTCTCCCGCGTCGTTTTTTATTGATACAAATAAATCTTGCGACACAAGTCTCCATAAATTCACTCCAAAGTGCCTCCCATACAGGCAATCGTGATCGAACGCAGCGTTTCTCCTCTTCATGGCACCTGCCCACCTTCTCGGACAAATCTGGCAGGCAGGAAGATTTGTGAGAACTGATCTCGGCACTTTTTCCAGCTCTTGCAATGCAGCCCGTAGTGTCATTTTTTCGAGAAGGCGGGTTTCTTCCGAGTTGTGCCAGAATGTGGCGATGCCCGGCCAGCACGGCGTTTTTTGCCCATGCTCTGGGCAGGTGTGCCCCGAAGCGCTGTCGCCACGGCACAATGTAGGAGAGTTGAGTTGGTGTATAGTAGTGAGGATAACTGCAGCCATAACTGTCGGTGTGACATGCAATTGGGCCGTTTCTTTTCCAAACTAAAACGTTGGGTTCCTTTTTAAAGGGGACACCGCAATCCAGCATCGAATAAGCATACAGTACAACAGCCACGCGTGGTATAAAAGAAGAATCTCGTTTTAATGACACACTTCAGGATACAGGCCTGCACAATTGAGACAAAACGATTATGTACAAAAAAACCTCTCGCGGCTGTAGCGAAGGCAGGAGCACTGGGTCACCCCCTCGCCACCAATGGATGAAGAAAAAAAATATGTCTGTACAATGTGTCTGCCAGGAATGTGACGCTGCCCTCGCGACAAATGCGTCTGCTACCACGAAAAGCACAAGCGCGTCGGAAAAGCGTACCGTGGGAAGTCTGAACCGGGTTCCCGACGTGGTGGCCGTAAGCAGGTGGCAACGATACAAAACAAAAAGAGCACGATCGGGACAAAAAACACTAAAATTGCACGTTTTGCGTAAAGTGTGGCAACCTTGCTGATGCGGCAGCAGTTCCGGAAACGCACAGCGACTTTTGAGATGAGGCGTAGAAGCTGTTTCCGACATTGATTCATTGTTTCGCGTCGACGTTGAACAAGGTGTGAATGCTGTTGAGGCCACAAAACAGGACTGTAACTTAGCATAAATAGTGCAGCGAAAGAATGTGCCTCCCCAAAACAGGCAGATGCCCGAAAATATTCTTCCTCCTTTCCAGTTTCGTACGTTGAATTCAGCTTTCTCCCTTCGCTTACTTGGCATGGCCGTACTGTGGAGCAAGCAGAATTATTTTTGCGTACTTGACCGTTGTAGAGTTCGGTTGATGCTGCGTTTGAACAAAGTTGCAATCCTGTTGGACGCAGCTTTAAAGCCGTCGCTGCGGACACTGAAAGCAAACCGTTGGAGAAGTGCCCCTATACCCTGCTTCACCCCGCGTCGAACCGCAATGGATGCAACGAGCCGTCGAGGCCGATCCAGCTCTATGAGCACAGCACGTGATACTCTTTCCACCTGTCGCTGCACCCCGTCTCCAAGGTCATGTGACACTCACAGAGCCTTGGATTGGCTCCAATGGCTCGTAGCATCCGCTGCGGTCGGTCGTAAGATGAAATGGGGTATATTCGTCTTCTAGAGACACAGCCAGTCACAAAAAATGATAGGTGGATTTTTAGACGGGGTCAGAGTGTCGGAAACGGGAAGCATATATAAGTATAACTTAAGGAAAGATGAGTATGTACATCAGAAGATAACATGCTCCACTAATGACAATTACATGTGCCCCCAATTATTCTAGCAGACCACCACTTTCGGGATCTGGCATCGACAACGTTTTGTTCGGTCGTTGGCTGCTATGACATTTGCGCCAAATATATGGGCCCCAATTCGTTCAAACTAATAATAATGGAAGATGCACATTTGAAGACATAAAGAACATTGTAAGAACCAATGTTTGTCATTGCTCCTAAAAAGTTACATAACTCCAGCTGGTCCAATCCATAAATGCAAATACTGAATCTTGCGAGGTAGCAATGACAGGGAATCGAGTTATTTTTTTGTCACACTCCTGTCGAGCAATCATGGCAGTGTGCCAATGTTGTAGGGCGATCCGTTCACAATTCGAGTATACTTGGACATGTTTTTTTCGAAAACCACTTGGAAAAGACAATTTGAACGATTTGTTCAAACGGTGTGAAATCTCGTACAACCTTTAAACATCTATTCGTAACTTAGCTGCATCCTTTCAGCTCTTTTCGATAAAAGTGACCGAAGTGAGTTTCAGATAGCTTTGAAAAGTCACCAATGCAGACGCAAAACGTTTTTTCTGCCATCACTTTAAATCGAAACATCTTTTCAATCGCTCAAAACTATCGATCTGAAATGCTCGCAACATGTCACAAGTTTATGATTGTCCACTATTTACACCCTGAAAAGTTGGCCCATATTACACCTGAAACTCGACTCTCTGCAAAGAATGGAGGCATGACAACAAAACATGGTAATTACCGAGCATAATCTTTGCTCCGTGATTATGACGAATTATGCCGCATTTCGGAACCAACGGTATCAATGCCCCAGACTCTAGGTAATACGAGGCATCGCATTGCTAGGTGCAATCAAAGAAGACTTGGGAGAGCACAGATGTAGGTTATCGTTATCCTGAAAACTGATAAGACGCGCAGTTTTAAGAGCCAGTCGGACAGCCCGAGGCAAATGAACCTCAAAATGCACAAAAAACTAAAAACATTCTTGGACAAACTTTGCAACTCAATAACACCCGGCTGCCCCAAAGACAAGAAAGCAGTCGGAATAAGAGAGGGATTCTAAAATCGAAATGTGGCAGACACACGAAAGAAAATAAACAAGAGCAAGCTAACCCAGACCAGCAGCGGCAGCTGCAAACACAACACACCAATTATACAAGACACCTAAACCCAGCAACAGTGGCAATACTCAGCAAATAGATTAGTTCTAAAATGACACTTCTCTGGCAGCAAACGAAAGTGATGATGGATGATTGGATGTGCACATAAAAGTAGTAGCAATGTAGCTTTCACCTCGCACGCCGAGGGCCTCCCCAACTTGCAACCTCTTTTGCAATCGCGTCCCCGACGCTTCCTGGATGCCGCTGGGAGCCACAACTTGGCCAAGGTTCTTCTCTAGCTGAACACGGTTAACCTTTACCTAGCGAGACGCGTTTTCCCGCTTCATTTGCATATGTACACAGAAGCCAATGCCAGGCTTTTCTAACGGTCGTTGCACCGACGCTGGAAACTGGGCTCGCTGTACCAACTTTTACGCAGCTAGGAATTTTCACTTCGGTACACAATAACATGCTTGCAGTAATGCAATCGCACACTGTCCGAGTAAAGATTGATAATCGTTAAAAAATAAGACACAAATTGTAAAAACTCATAATTAAAATGCATGCAATGGCAAATGAAAGATTTCTGTTGCAACGATTGTCCGATGAATAGATATGTGGGTCAGTACTCCTCTGTTCTTTATCAGGCAAACTTTTACGTTTGCCATTTTGGTGGTCGGGCACACTGAGGTACCTGAAATTTACCGTCCTTTTTGAATTGTCTTTTGGCAGAACGAAAGATTACAGGAACTCTAATAACGCCACAAAAAAGTTATCATAATCTTACTTCCCCAAAGAAGGTCAAAGCTTTGCCAAAACTTGCCACTTTGCCCGACGTCCGCCGCAGTTTTCAGCGTCCGTTTTTGCAACGAAAACTCTCGACCCGCCTCTCGAAACGTAATCCTCGAAGACGCACCATTCGACCCCACGAGCATTCGTAGATGCCCCCCACCATCCGTTAGAAAAAAAAAAAAGAATACAAGGTCACCGTCAATTCGCAAAGTTCCATCGGCATTCAAAGAAGAGCCGGCTGCGCCGAAAGTGCTACTCTTGCGTGATGTACGACACTATGTCCGTCACACTCTTGAGCTCGTCCTCTTCTCCCCCCTCCGCGTTCCCCCTCTGCCGTAGGATGTTGGTGATGGTGAACCCGCCGTCTGACGATCCCGCCCCCCCCGGAGGGGGTGGGTGGTTCCCCGGACCCCACTGGGAACCCGGAGGCCCTGGCGGGTATGGCCCCGGGGGGCCGTAGGGTCCCTCCTCCGGCGGGACATAGTACCCGGGCGGCCTCACGCCACCGCCGTTACCGCCACCGTTGTTTCCGCAGTTGTTGTAGTACTCCGGGGGAGGCGGGGCCTGCGGATGGTGGTAGCCGGGATGGTGGTACCGGTAAGGCCCGGGGGCGGCACCCCTTGGTGGAAAACCGCCGCGGGGGCCGTACGCGAAGTAGGGTGGCGCCTGGTACGAGTCGGGGGGCCGGTAGACGTCGCGCGGAGGGTAGGGGCCTCCGCGCGGAGGTGGAAACCTCCCGTCCAGCGGGGTCAGCTGGTTTCCGCCGCGCTGCGGCGGCGGCGGCGGCGGTGGGGCGTCTAGACTCGTGAACTGGGGTGGGCTCGGGGAGGCCCGCGCGTATGCGTCGACGGGGGCCGGAGGCAGGGGCCTTCCGTAGCCGCCTTCCATGGGCACGCAGTCGCCGTAGGGGTCCGCCGCGGCGTAAGGACGAGGCGGGAGGTAAGGGTATGGACCTCCTCGCGGCGGGTAGTGTCCCTTGGCTGCGCTCTGCTGCGGCGGGGCGGGCGGGTTATCATCCGGGAACCCCTTCTCGTCGTCCTCGTCGTCTTCGTCCGGAAAGCCCTTGGATTCGTCGTCATCCGGAAAGCCCTTGTCCTCGTGTCCCCCAATGGGACGCGGAGAGGAGGAGGAGCATGCTGGCGATGGGACGTTGCTGCCGCTGTTGTTGTTCGAGGCGTCCTGCCCCAACAGGAGCCGCGAGATCGGGCCAGGCTTCGGAGAGTCCCGCTGCTGCGCCGCGTGGGGCTGGAAACCCCGTTGTTCCGCGACGAGCGATGTGGGAATCGTGGACTGGGGAATGGCCGCAGCCATAACCGGAGCTTGCACTGCGACCGGTGGCGGCACGGGTGGAGGAGGCGCGGTCACCTCAACAACGTTCTCGTGCGGGGCCAGAGATGGTTTCGGCTCGACGCTCGCTTCCTTTTCTGCATGCTCGCCGTCGGCGGCAGACGGTGCTTCTTTCACCTCCGTGGCCTTGCTTGCCTCCTCTTCCTCCTCGTCGTCATCCGAGCGGATGACCTGCCTGTTCTTCCCGAATTTCTTCTCCTCTTCCGATCCGCTGCTCTCTTCCTCTTCCGAGCTCTCCGTCTCCTCGCTCTCGTCCTCCGAGCTGCTGTCCGTCGCCCTCTTCTTGGCGGCCTTCTTGGGGTCCTGGGCCGTGTCCTCTTCCGTCCTCGCCTTCTTGGCGCTCCGGGCCTGCTTCCGCTTCTTGCAGCAGCTCTCCTCGCTCCCCTCCGAGGCGTCGTCGTCGTCTTTCTTGGCGCGGCCCTTACCCTTCCGGCCGTCCTCCGAGCTGTCCTCCGTGAACTCCGCCTCCTCTTCCTCCGAGGAGGAGACCTCCCTCCAGGTGCGCCGGTTCTTGGGCTTCTTCTTCTTGCGCTTCCACTCCACGTCCGTCTCCTCAGAGTCGCTCCTTGCCGGGCGGCGCCGCGGGCTGCGAAAAACGATTGAAGCACGTTAGGCTTCCCTAAAAAAGTGCACCAATTACCGAGGCATTCGTGTGTGCCTAGATTTTTACCGAAATATACTCCACTAATGCCCGACGATCGAGAAAAAATAAATAACTCAACATCTGCCCTGTAACTTCCTTTTTTTTCACGGGAAACTCTTTGTTAAGAATTGATTGCTTGGGTTTCTCCCACTCTTGTTTCCCGACTCAAAGTATGATCGTGACACAAAGCTTGAATTATCTGATAAGTAGCAAGTAGTTTGAGGCAGGTCATCCTTAATAAATGTATGGGAATCTAATAAACATGCTACTTTCAATGACCAATCAAGCACCGAGAGTGCACCGACGCAAAGAAACTGTTAGTGTATAGCTGCAGGGTGTGAAATTGGCTTGGGTGACTTTGGGTGTCTCTGACTTTGCACGTTTATGCGCTAACTCTCAGGTTTTGGTAGGAAAAGGATTCTCCCCAGAGTGGGCGGCAGTGGTTTCGCCACCCGCCACTCTGGCTGACTGTCCATTCCTACAGTGTCCAATGCACCTCTACAATTTGCACCCCCTGAACAAAACACTGTTGATTTTCAAAATGCACGAAGCCCCGCATTGTTGCATTGACAGACTAGTGTGGCACTACACAACGGGACTGCATAATCTCCACAAACAAAATCCCGGCTGTGCGGCAGAGAAAGTGCAGAGAACAGCAAAAGTTGTTGCAGCCAATCGCCCCCTCCCCTCAGCACACTGGAAATTGTCAGATGGCCAGATCCCAAGAATTTCTGGAGAGAACCCTGGTTGGAATATATATTTTTTTTTCTCTCTCACCAAATATGCAAGTTTGCAGAGAAAAACTAATCAGAAGGTTAGTTCTCAGGATAATTATAATTAACCAGATTTTGTTTCTAGAAACAATATTGAAAAAATATATTTCTAATTTTTTTTAGAAAAGAATGTTTTAACATATGGCCAGGTGCTACAAAATTATAAAGAATACAATGCTGAAAACCCTTCTTACATTGAACCATTATTAGTGACTTTAGAACACATTGAAGTTTAGTGCCCAATGTGTGGCTCCCAAGCAAGGATACAATAGTTCAGTTAGAAATTTTCCTACACCCAAAATTTAAATATTGGCTTCCAACATTGTATGCTTTGCACATTTAGCTATATGTTGCTAAAAAAAGTTATATTTCTGTCTACCCTAAACGCCGAGATACTCCCCCCGAAAATTTGTAAGGAGGTCAATATTTGTTTTGAGAAAGTGTTTGAGTGCAAGTTCAGCCCACATAGATATTATAAAGCAATATTATAGCTCATATATTAATCCTAAAAACATGAAACTTGCCAGATCGAAAGGAGAAATAGCTGTTACTTTCAAAATTGCCATTTTTCCAAAAAAAAAAAAAAACAGTTTTTTAGGGATTTTTTATTTCCAAAGACCCATGTCTCCCCTTACAGGGTAACTGCAAAGAAAAAAAGTAGGGGTGTGCGAATATTCGAAACTTCGAATACTTCGCGAATAATGCTTGCTATTCGATTCGATTCGCTTCGCCCTTTCGCTGTTCGAACTATTCGAGTTCTTCGAATACTTCGAGAACTACGAATAACGCGGAACTCATTGATTAGTGTCAACTTGCGGTCGAGTTCTTTGTTTTGTTTTTGCACTGCGCAGTATGGTTTCGAGCTTGGCAAACCTACACAACCAACCTAAGTATCTTTTTTTTTTTTTTCTCTTTGTAGGAAGGATTGGAAAGTTATTTGCACGCGGTAGCGCGATCTGTCCTTTGCTTGCCGTGATGTCCGGATTGCAGAGTTGGCTAAGTGGTCGTGGTGCAAACGCTGCGATAGATAGGATGAAGGACTACGGTTTGCAACGGCACATGCATCGTCGCGACGGACCGCACGATGTTTCGGGCGTCCGCCCGAGACGTCTTGTATACGTTGCTGTCCACATTCATAGCACAACCATATATTCGTGATTTCGTACCTAGAGTGACTACAGTAGCCAAGGTGCTATGGATTCGGATATGGATTTATAGCTCACCTCGGCTATCGGTGATATCTGGCTTGTGTTATTTTCCGCTTGATTTTCCGGTTTATCAGTTTGCCAGTATTCCGTTTGTTATTTATTTCTATCCGTTTTCAATGATAAAAATGAGACTTCCTCCCCCCGCCAAAAAACAAACAAACAAAAAAAAAACATATTCTTAAATTATTGCATCTTTGTGGCGCCCTCTATGGACAGAACTATTGCACACGGAAAGAGATGGTGCATAGTCAGTGCGGTTGCGCAGCGCGATCGCGCAATCTGAAACTCTGCTGTGGCCTGTCGACCCGCCTCCGCTTGTGTACTTCCGTTTACGTTCACGTGGTTGCGTTCACGAGCGTAAAAAGAGATCGCACAAAGTAGAGACGCAATCATCGACTTCGTATTGCGGCTTGCGGACTCGCCACCGCTTGTGTACTTGCGTTTACGCTCAAGTGCCTCCTTTCGTCCGCGATGCGATCTCCGACTGCGTTGTGGCTTGCCGACCCGCCTTCACTTTTGCACTTTCATTTACGTTCTCTAACCTCACTCAAGGAATGGTATTTTAGTGACTGATCTTTCTTCATCTGTTTTTTTTAACAGTCACATGTGGGACATTTTTCTTATTGCAATAAAAGTAACCTTTTCATAAACGTTTGTTGAAAAAAAATTCCAGTTGTGTTTTTTTATTAAGCATTCTTGTTTAATTCACATCAAATAGAAAATATTTGTTTTCAAATATATCCTTATTTGAAACTACTATTCGTATTCGAAAATATTCGATTCGATTCGATTCGTAACCTTTATTATTCGATTCGATTCGCTTCGAAAGATTTTGATATTCGCACACCTCTAAAAAAAAGTGCATTTTTAAACAGCCTAATTGGGGCAAGCATGTCACAAAACAGTCTTTTTCTGCCAAAAACAGAATTTTTTACAGCAATATTTATTGCGCGAGACTGATTTTAGTTTGCAGCTATTTCGTCTCTTTTAAATTGCGCGCCACAAAGTTGGTATTACACGTCACGGAGTAGCTGCTATACGTCACGGAGTGACGTATAGCAGCCACTCTGCATGCGTCGAAAGAGCGGGAGTTTCAAATGTGGAGAAGTTGTGACTAACTAAATTACATCCTGTGGCGTAAATATTGCTAGAAAAAGTTAGTTTTTTCGCGGAAGATTTATTTTGTGACATGCTTGTCCCATATAGGCTGTTTAAAAAAAAAAAAGATTTTTTTTCTTTGCAGTTACCCTTTAACGCGAGTTAAAAAATTTTGCCCTTGAGACTGATCGACTGTGTTGCAAACGCCTATGACCGCCTGTGACGGCAACACGTGAGCAACACGAGTCGGGCTCGGAAATGGGTCCCAATGACAAAGGAGGAGACCACAAGGCATACGCACGCCGACTTCCTCTTTCTAGCCTTGGCTTCCTCGTCGTCAGAAGAAATCTCTCGGTAGTTGACTTGCTTGGAGGCCGCCCGCCGTGTGGTGCAGCCCCCGTCGCTGTCCGACTCGTAGTCGTCGTCCATCACTGGAAAGAGACGGGAGAGAAAGGAAATGGCGCATCCACACTTCCTGCGTGCCGTTCTGACACGCCGGCCTTGCTCGCCGAAATTTTCAATGAGATCGAATCCACACGCGACAAATTCGAGAATGGTGCATTATCGGATACAACAAACTAATGTCTGTAGCAGAGTCTTGCTGGTATACTTTCCACATAATTTTAGCCCCTCTTAATAACAAATTTATTTCTTTATTTATTTGATATGTGCCCACAAACAGCATGATGCCATCAGCGTGGTGCACAAAAGAAAACAAAGCAAAGAAAGTATGTGAAAATAGGTGAATAAAGCGAAGAGGAAAAGAAAGAAAAAAAATGAACAAATATTATAAATGACTGTAAACGACATCGTGTGGGGACATGAAACTTGATAGAATATAGTAAATTGGCACAGTAGCGCCGTGGATATGTACAGTAATCCCTCTTTATAACGAAGTCAACGGGACAGCAAAAAAATTCAATATAAGCGGTAATTCGGTAAAAGCGAGAGACCCCAAAAAAAACAGCGACAGCAGCCTGTGTTTTCCCAAGTGCCTTTCCAATGTCACTTGGTGTTTACCCTAGCCACACGCAAGGTCTACGATAGCAGCATCCGTGGCAGGAGCAACAACGGGAACGTCCGCATCGACACGCGTGAACGAATCAGAATTATCCTCGCTGGCCTCGCCAACATGTTTGCACACGCTCCTGCAGAGATTGTTGCAGCCCTGGGAATCGTGCGCCGGCTCAGCAAGCATCCTCGCGAGAGAAAATCCGATGTGCGCAAAGCGGTCGGCAATCTTTCATCTTTGGGTGGTGCACGCTATCTCTTGCATGAGAAACTTCTCGCACCCGTCCAGTGTATCTTGCTTGTTCTGCAATATCTTGGGCAGTGTTGAATAGCCATTGCCGGAATAATGAATTCTTTGAAGATTTCGGACTTGGGCCGATCACTTTTCTGAACCTCGCAAATCTAACCAACTTTCGGTAAACTCTACCACCCTCCCATACAACGCATTTGTATGCCGCGAGCGCAACCACACAGGCGCGTCAAGGGCTCCCAAAGGGATGGTCTCCTCCGGGCTCCATCGGCTCCATCGCTCCTTTGACCCAATTCCGACAAGAATCAAGCAGCGTCGGCCGCGCAGGCACCATGAGTAGCGTCGGAACATGGCAGCTGGTCCTGCTGCTCAATGGCCGCGTTGGCACATCGGCACTGGAAGCGGCGCTGTGCGTGCAATGCCCTCCGTCACCCATTTGCTCCTTTTTTTCGTTTGCCATTTGCCTCGGTGGAGAAGAAACACAAAGGCCTCCGTGCGCCTCCGTGTAGACTCGTGTGCATTCGGCACCTTGGCCTTCGTAATAAACGTGGTCTGCCGCCGACACACTTCGAATGCTGTAAACGACTTAATTTTTGCGGGGACCTAATTTTCGTGAATTTTGCGAATCCCTACAATTCGCGAAAAATAGGTCCCGCGAACAATTCTGGTAAAATGTAAACACATGGAAATCTATATTGAGACCCCACCGCGTCGAGAAAATTAGAACCCACAAATTATTCCAAATCTTCAGCTTTGACCTAAATCGCGAAATATTGAGCCTGCGAAAAATGAGTCTTACTAAAATGCACAGTTGGGTTAGTTGGTATGCATTCGTGATGAAAAACAGCGCAAAACACAAGTACACAGAGGAGAGAGTGCCTTGTCCTGTGTTTATTTCTCTCCTCTGTGTCCTTGTGTTTTGCACTGTTTTTCACCAAAAATAAGTCGTTTACAGTAATCCGGTTCAGAATGTGTGCATTTTGGTCAGAACCACGTTGAACTTTGACAAAAGCAAAAATTTGATAAAGCAATTTCATTGAACGAGGGATTACTGTGCGAGGTAAAAAGTGGCAAAAGTTTTCGACCTAAATCCATAGCAAATTGGACGAAAAAAAAGTGGTGGGCTAACTCTTGGTGTGCCATAAAAAAGAAGTTGGAAAAATGCTAGTTTTACATTATGAGACCCTCGAAACTTGCGATCGCAGGAATTGGCGATGAATTAAAGACAACTGTCCTTCCCAGTCAGCAACGTTCGGTTATCTCCCGCTGTGGGTAACAATGTTTTTGCCGAGGTCACCATTGGCCAGGGCCCTGCAATTAATAGGAGTAAGCTATCTCTCGGTGCTTCAAAAAAAAAAAAAAAAGCTCGAGGTACACCTAAGCACTTCTTATGAGTTGTGAATGCAAAAGCACGCACACCGCTCTTTACTCCCTTCTTTAATCTGCGGCGTACAGCGCGCTGACCTCGGGCGTGAAATGGTGGAGCCACTGCCTCGTAGACACGCAGTGCCATCGGGTGAGCGATCGTTCAAACTGTCGTGTGCCTTGCGGCACGAGGAACGAACAGACAGCAACGTAGTTCCCAGCAGAACGAACCCCTTAGTTTATTTCATGCGCCGCATATATTGCCACGCGCCGTACAACCGACAAGAGGCGAGCAAACGCGGTGATCAGTGATAACACAACAGCGTGATAACACAGTCAGAATGACACCACACAAACTGACGCGCAGTGGCCAATGGGAGCCTTGTCGACGCACGCTAGCCAATGGGACCGAAGTGTGAAAGGTGCCATTGGCAAGCTTTGCACGAGGTTTCATTAAGGTGCCGTTTTGCATGATTTCAAAGCTGATGACGTCGGCTCGCTCCATGAGACCAGTTAATGGCATTAAAAATAGCAAATCATGCCAAAAATAGGGGGTGGGATATCTCTCGGCGGTAGGACATCTCTCGGGATATTACCGTATTTACTCACATGATGACCACACTTTTTTTCCCAAAAAATTTACCCATATTTGGGGGGGGGGGGGGGGGGGGGGGGGCTTCATTACGCAGGGTCAAACTTTTGCATTTACACTCTTTGCGCAAATGTCATTTTAAGTGCCAATTAGGCATGGCAGGGTACTTACTGTGGCCTGTCTCCACTAATGGAGGCGCGCCCACGGCTGGTCGTGGGAGCTCCACAGTGATCATGCTTTATGAATTGCAAACCTTTTTTAGGGCGCTTTTGGCGTGTCTTTTGCCGAAGTAAAAGCGCCCTACGAAGCTCACTCAACACAAAGAGCAACGCGACCGTTCTTAGGCCTAACCACTTTCACGATTTGACCGTCCAAAAGCGGACCACAGACGATGGCGTGTCTGTTGACATCAATGCATGCGATAGGCAAAGAATGACCGGGGCTGAGCAATTCCTCGACCCAAGCTTCGTCAGGTGTGCGTGCCGCTCGGTTGCACGGTCGATCACTTCCGCAACTATGCACTTGCACCCAATACGAGAGCGGCTTGGCTTGGCTTGACTTGGCCTGACCGCTTGGTGGCTAGCTAAATTGGACACAATTCGAGACTCGCGGAGCCAAAAATTGGAGGTGCGTTCATTACACGAAGGAAAAAAAAGAGTAAATATTGGTACCCGTTGTGAAGGGTGCATTCATTATGCAAGTAAATACGGTATGCACCATTTCTATCAGGTAGGTCACGGTTCCTGCTTTATGTCCGAAATATTAACAAGTCTGAAATTATCAGTGACCAAAAAAAGCGGTCAGCGACTACACCTTGGCTGCAGAAATAAGCAACGTTTACTATCCACAAAATCTGTGAGGAAAACACAATGACAAAGGAGATATTTGTGAACTCTGTCAAACACATGGAGTAGTCGCTGCTTATGCCAGATGCATGAAACAAACTGCAATGAAAGTTGTTCACTGCTGTTTGCTTGCAGTTAAGCAGCGCAAGTGCCGACACTTTGGCATTTGCGTCCTTTTGAGTTCCGAATACGTTGCGCGCAGTGATGCTTTCGAAGGGCCTCACCAAAGTCGTCCTTGCGGTAGCCGGAGCGGGTGGCCTTGCCCTTAGAACGTGAAACGGGGGGAGCCCTGCGCCTCCTCCGAGAACCTGCCTCCCAGTCGGAGCCCGTCGAAGGGGCGGCCTCGCTGGCGCTGGAAGCGCTCACTTCCGAGTGGCTCGCACTGCAAAACGCAAGAGCGTCAAGAGATCTTGACTAGGATAACCAGACACTAAGGCTGCCCTGGTCCCTAGGAATTGAGGTTCAACAGTATATGCATCATTTACGCAAATACTGCAAGCTAACCTTGGTTGATGGTACAGTTTTGAGTTTAAAGATTACCTCTAGACTGAGTGAATGTAAATAATTAAAAATGACAGTGCAGCATTGCGAGGGAGCTTCATTTTTCATGTTGGTATAATGCAAGAAGATGCCGAGTGGTTACGTCAATGATGGAACTCGAGAAGTATGTTTGACTAGGGACATATAAGGGTGGCATAAACCCATACTTACTTCAATCCTTTCCTTTGGAGTCTGCGAACGAGCTGACCGTTTAAATACCGGTTCATCTGAACTCTGAACAAAGGCCGGTATGCATAGAAATTCAGTACCGGTCTTTATGTCGCTGGCTACTCCCGCAAAAAAAAAAGTTTGAGCGAGCTGGAAGGCACTGCTTTCGCAAAAAGAAAAACAAAGGGCAAAGATTCACTGGAATGTATTCCGGCAATGCACCAGGCCAAGCAATGCCACGTAATATTGTCTTTTTCGCAGCTCCGGAGGAGGCGAGGCCACCCAGTGGCTGTAACGGGCATTTTTAATGCTCCAAAAACCCGCTGCACCATTGGCAGTGCCACCGTCCCACCACACCACCGCGGGATACTTAAGGGACAGCACATTAAACTTCTTTCTCTCCCTTTGACCCCACAGTGCCACTCTCATCGTCGTTCGACATGGAGGCAAAAATGCAACTTTTAGAAACGAGGACCTTGCGCCTGCCGAAATATGCGGCGAAAATATGGTACAGTGAAATCTCGTTAATTTGAACCCGAAAGGGACCAAAACTTTGTTCGAATAATGCAAAGCTTGAATTACCGGGAGTTTCCTCCCTAGAAACACATAGGATGGGACCTGCATGTTAGTTTGAATTATCCGCGAGTTTGAATTAACAAGATTTCACCACCTCAAACTCGAGTGGGACTGGTCTGCATCCCGTTCTGCCCCCGCACAAAAGTGGTCCCAAAGTGCCAACAGACAACATCACAAAAGCCGGAGTGTCGCACCGTCGGAGCTGCTCACCTCGAGCCCTGGTACTCGTCGGTCTCGTCGTCGTCGTCCTCTTCCGACGTGAAGTCCAGGTTGGTGAGCTTACGGTGCTTTTTGCGCTTCTTGCCCCCAAACACAGGGGGCGGGGCCTCCTCTTCCTCCTCCCCCTCCTTCTCAGAGCCCTTGCCATCCTCCTCCTCCTCCTCGTCGTCCTCACCAATCAGGTTCGAAATGTCCTTGCCACGGCTCACCACTGATGTACGCGCGACAAACGGGGGAGGAAAGACAGAAACACGAGTCAGTCTGGTTCGGGGAGTCCACTGGCAGTTGTAGTAGTAAGTCCCTCAATCTGCAAATCAGTGGGAGTAAGGAGCGTCGGCGGCGACAGACGACCTATTGTATTTACTCGAAAATAGGTTGACCTTTTCATAGATGAAACGTAAGTGTCTCTTTTCCTCACAGAGAACTCGTGATTTCTCTGCCTCGAGAGCAGAGATTACGGTAGGCTCGCAATAACCCAAACTCGGATATTTCATACTTCCGATTAATTCAAACAAATTTGGGTTGTCCCACTACGTTCTTAATGTATTCCTAAGCCGCTTAATTCGAACAGCGTTCTCCTGCAATTCATACTTTTGGTTCTCGCGGCCCTGCTGAGTGCGCTTTTTTTCCCAGCACAGGTGCGCTGCAGAGCGGCAACACCCATAGAGCTTGCTCCCGCGGGTGTTGCTTCTCTGCAGTGCACCAGTGCTCGGTGAGAAGCGCACTCAACGGGGCTCAGGCGGGGCTCACAAGAGCTATGAAAACGGGCACCACGCGGAAGTTTCTGTAGCAACTTGCACGGACGCTGCGACGTGGCGGCATGGCACAAGTCGAGGTCACAGCGTCCCCGCGAGTTGCTATGAAAACTTCCGCAAGTGCCCGTTTTCATCGCTCATCTGTCCCCTGCTTAATAGTTCACATTAGACAACTTCTTGGCCTGATGAACAAACTTAATTCTGTTTTGAGTTGTCATGTGCTGTCTAAACAGCCCATGATAAACAACAATTTTGAGGGATAAATAAACTTAAGTCATAGATTTCACAAATGTTTCTTGTGTGGTATACCTGCTTATGATCACTAGGCCTACAAAGAAGAAATCATAAAAAACTTTCAATTTTTCCACTCTGGTGAAGAAGGAAGACCAGCGAAGCTGTACGCTCGTCCCGTGTGTTTCTTCTTCATCTTTGTCTGTTTTGCGCGCTGTTTCTTACAATGAATTCCCACCAACTCGCCCAACTATCCATTCTATGATAGCTGGAAAGGTTGCCGCCATCTATGAGCGATGGCGGCAACCAGATTGGTTGTCTGGTTGCCGCCGTTGCTCATAGATGGCAGTAGTTGTCCAGAGTTTTGTGCAGTTTTGTTTCGACATTTGTTTAGTACCGGATACGAAACCGGGGAAACTAGCCCTTAACAGCTCCGCTGTAAAATATCTGCTTTGTATGTGTAGCCATTCATATGGCAAATCATAATTTTATCTTGAATCATATTTAGACAAATTTCCGATAATTCAAACTTCTGATGATTCAAACAAAATTTGTGACTGCCTGGAGCTTGAATTAATGAGTCTACTGTATGTTGGCACCCAAACCGACAATTTGTACTTGAACGACCACCACGAAATATGCATCCTCATAATCTCGATGCAGGCTGCGTTTCTCTGCCGCAGTGTCATCGGTACCACGTTACTGGGCGGTCTAGCTCTTCAAATAGCATCGGCTCTCACTGTGCACTCCAGAAAAGCGGATGTCTCGAAAAGGGAAGGGAAGAGGAAGTATCGGGCACCTTTTGCACTCTGCACGGCCACAATCTCCGGCTGCACGGCCTGGAAGATCATCTCGTCGTACTCCTTGAACTGGTAGCTAATGGCCTTTCGCTTGCGCGAAGACCGCTTGTTCAGAAGGAACGGCTCCTCATCTCCATCCTCCCTGTCGTCCTCCTCCTCCTCTTCCTCTTCAGACTCCTCCTTCTTCTCCTGTCAAAATAAAAATGAAAAATCACGACAGTAAATCTAGAGCTCGCGGTGGTTCAAAAGGCAAATGTGACCGGATTGCCGCTCTGGGTGGCTTTAAATATGCTGCAACGTCCCTTATCAGTATAGGGGCCTTCCCCCACCATACGCCAATGCAATGCAGGGAAATCAATAGCGTAGGTTTGCATGCCTCATGGCAGTGCCTCTCCTCAGTACATTGGAGTGTTGCAGAAGAGCTATCAAACAGTAGCAGCTTACAGCTGCAAATTCACTGATAAGTAGGTGCCTTTGGCTCAAAACAAAATATAAACATAACTATCGTGCAAAAATTTTTTTTCCTTTTTTAGTTACGAGTTTTGCACAAGCACGGCTTCGCTAAAATGTGCATGCCAAATCTTCTTAGAGAATGCAACAATTATTAAAGAGAAGAAAACAGCCAAGGCTTGGCATTTCTGGTTGGATGAGGGTTGACTGAGATATATATGGGCCTGCTAAGAGGAGCAGTAAGCTCTGTGTCATCTAGAATCACAGGATGTGCAATGCCCCTACTAAACCTCAGAAAGGGTCTTGATTGTCATTACTGCTGCACCTGAAGGCATTGCATTTATTTAAATGTAGTTAGTTTTAACATGTTGAAAATAAAAGCAACATCCTTCAATTAAATTAAGTGCTTCACATAACAACGAACATGGGACGACACTGCAACAGAAGTACATATAATCATAAAGACATTGTAAGTTAGTTATCCGAACTGAAATTTGACCAGTTCGACCACCGAAAAGCAGAAAACTGAAGTAACAGATCTGCAGGTAGCTTACCGGTTTGAGGACATTGTCGAGGCTGATCCCTACATAAGCCAGCCGTTGTTTCCTGCAGAAAAGACAACAGAAGTCCCTTAGAGAGAAGGCAATAAAGAACATGTATACTATATACCAACACACTTCCTGTTGCGCTCAGGACCCAAGTTGGTCTGACGAAGCAATTGATGCGAAGAAGGAGAAGAACCCACCTCAGCTCTTCCCTTTCCCTCTTCTTAGAGAGCTGGTCGTAGAGCTTCAGTTCTTCCAGCAGCTTCTCACAGAGCATCCTCTGTTGACAGAAGCAGAAAGAAACGCTTTCAACGGCCTCATCCTGTACCAACAGCCAAGCGGGTTGACAAATGCGAGGATGCATCACACCTGAGGCACCGAAAACAAAAAGGTGGCATAATGCAGTGTTCTCTGGGCAATTGGCTTTTTTATGAGAAAATAAGAAACTTGCAAGCCCCCTTTCCAAGGCAGTAGCTGCACTTAAAAGAAGAAACTTTTACAAACATGCGAAAGATTATACTCTGTCTCACCTCACGACGGACTGCAAAGGGCACTACAAGCCATCAAAGTCAATACCATGCCGCGCAAGTGTCACATGACCTTTGGAAGGGGTGCATCTATTCGCGGGGCACATAGTCACGCAACATTTCCCAGTGCTGGACTGGCTGCAATCACTCGTAGCATCTGCAGCGGTGTATCGTAAGGTGAAGCACAGAATATAGGTAGTCTGATCTTTGGAAGCAGTTCCTTCATTACTTGAAATAACAACATTATAAGCGAGACAGTTACGAAGCTCACATAAACGGACATGTGTAAAGCCATCTAAGATGCAAGTCTGAGAAGCGAGCTTTGGAGAATCGCTCGAGCACACAGCGAGCAGTAAAGCCCTCATCCACAGCTCCACCGACGGGGCTGCGTCCGGTCTGTTTCACAATTGACGGCCGAAGGAAGCTTACGAGTTTAATCTTTTTGGGAGCCCAGAGAACTAGATCATCAAAGCGCTTACGTGGTCACAGGGGGGGCAGAACCAGTCCCCATCCGGAATGAGCATCAGGGCTGGTTTCAGGCAAGATGTATGGTACCCAGCATCACAGGCATCACAGAGAAGAATCTGGAACAAGCCACAGAAAACCATAGTCAGATATATGCCACTTACAGGCATTAAGACAGATTCAAACCTAAAACATACCCCCAGAAAACAATGGAAAGGACGGTTCCGAGAAAAAAAAAAGAATGCTCCATACATTTGTTGCGTTTACCCCCAAGAAACAAGTTGAAACCCCCGAGGAAAAGTCCCAAAGAGGTCAGACATTTTCCTAATTATTTGTAGAAACAATGAAAGATGTCTACAATTCCCTGTAATACTGAATTAGAGAGCAGCCCCTCCTCCTCCACCATACCCTCTCCCCCTCTATACCATCTTCTCCTTTCCCTCCCTCTCCCTCCTCCTCCTCCTCCTCCCCACCCTCCTCCCTCGTGACGTTACTCATGAAGGTCATTGACCTTCACAAGTGACCTTTGTGACGTCACTCATGATGTCACTTGTGACGTCATTATAGGAAACTTCCCATAATGCAACGTGCGGTTACGGCGACGGCACTCAAGCCGGAAACGGGCAGCTAAAAGCTGCTCTCAGAAAAACTTTTGATATTTGGGTAGCTTCGATTTGCAATTTACATTGTACCTCTCACTTGCATGAACTGTTGTGACTCATACTGTTCAAGAAAAAGTTGCAACCGATCGCAAAGTCTAGAAAAAAGTGCAAAGACAAGGAATTGCCTGCTTGAATAGTATAGCATATCTAAAGAAGCGGCTACGGCTTATACTGCGTGCCTTTCTGTGGCGCCTGCACTTACGAGCGGCATCGGGTACTACGAAGAGCGGCACACTGCACTAAGTGGAGGAACATTAAGGCATCAATCTATTAGCAATGCGCTCATTCTGTCACCTCTTTTAACGTATGAATATGAATAAATGAAGTAATAGGCTGTGATTTCGCTCGTTAGGCGTTACTAAAACCATGGACTCTTTTTCGTATCTGCAGACCGCCACGCATGCTCTTGTCCGCTGAGATAATGAAACCATATTGCAGTTGCCTTTTACTATTTCAACATAAACATGCCATGAAATCAGACACTACTGGCCAGGAGACTGAGGCTGGCCAGGAGACTGAGCATATGTTAACTTATTAATGATTTGGTTTGTGGCCTAACCGTGCAGGCTAGGTTACTAGCCGATGACTGCATTATTTTTAGCAAAGTTAAATATAATTCGAACCAGATAAACCTCAAGCAATGTTTAGATAAGATTAGTGACTGGTGTCAGCAGTGACAAATGTCACTAGATAAGTCAAAAACTGTGTTTTTGACCACCACCCATAAGATCAAGACTCTACATTTTTAGTACACTATAGACAGCGAACCACTGACACGCGTTTCAGAATACAAATACCTAGACGTTACCACATCGCACAACGTTCGTTGGGGGTCCCACATTAATACCATCACTAAAAAGGCCAATTCAAGATTGTGGTTTCCGCGATAAACCTTGAAAGAAATTTCTATTGATACCAAACTAACAGCTCATAAATCGCTGGTGCAACCACTATTATTAGAGTACGCGGCAGAAGTTGGGGATCCTTGCACAAAATATGATGTGCTAAACTTGGAGCGAGTGCAGCGGCTGGCTCTGCGTTTTGTTTATTCCAAGTTCCGGAGACTGGATTCCCCTAATGAATTGTATTCTAGGGCGAACCTCCCCTTACTTAAATATCGACGGAAGAATAAAAAACTGAAACTTGTGTTTATGATGCAGAATGACACGCTTTAAACGGGCAACTTCGGTCAATTCCGGGAATTCTGGGATTACGGGCGATTATCATGTCAAAACTACTAACAAACGTTTCTACGTCATTCGTTTTCCGAAAAGTTAAATACCATAGTTCTCTTGCAAACCTCGCTTAAACGAGAATAACAAAGCGAAACCGAAACTTTGCCTACGACAGGCAACATTGGTCCCGCTCATCAACTACTGGACATCACGTGGTACGGAGACGTCGGCTATGTCATCAACGAAAGCGGCGGATGGCGCCTCACGCTCTCGTTTTTCTCTCTCGCCCTCGCACTCTGCATTTTGAAAAGAAACAAACAATCAAAACAATTCTTCCAGTTGTTGACGTTCCGCGTAGTGTTGGCTGTGTCCAGACAGCAGCGTTGACTGCGCTGCTTTGCACATCACTCGCTAGCTTGGGCGAATTTTGGTGAACGTGGAGCTGCTCCGACTTCGTTTGATGGTTTAATAAACTTTTAGGCGGAACTGCGTCATAATATTTTACATGTAGGCTTTTCAGATGATACAAAGTAGGACTGCATTGTTCTCTCAACATCAAAATATGACTGGAGTTGCCCTTTAATGAACCAAAGTAGCTGTCTAACATTGCACGAGTCAAGAATATCTAGAAATAAGCATAGCCACACACCTCAGCAGTACCAGTGCCTGAAAGATTGTTATATGTATTAATTTTTTCCCGTGATGATCAGCGATTGGAATCGAGTCCCCGAGACTGTTGTTTCTTGTCTGTCATTTTGTTCGTTTTGCGCGTGTATCGATTCTTACAATGACGCTTATTATTAGGCTTCTTGGGTCATGTCATATTGGTTGTGTGTTCTGTGGTACTGATATTGATAACAAACGTGCGCCGTGTAATGTTTTCATGCAGTTAATTCGGTTTCTTTAGTATTGTTGATCTGTTGTCAAGTCTTGTATTGTATATTGTTGAATAACCCACACCTATTATAGTATAAAAAAAAAAATAAATGCTTTCAGTTGCACCATCCCTAACCATATAGGATCTCTAGTTTTCAAACAATTTTTGTATTAAGTTTCTACACCCAAAGATTCAACGTTTTTGTCAAAATATAATGCACAATGCACCTAAAAAGAGCAATAATAGTAATGTTCCGAATCTCTACGCAATTAACTACTTTCATTTGTCAAATCTTGTGAATGTGGTGGGGACCCGAAATGCCCCCAACCCGCCCCCTCCCCCCCCCTTCCCCCCCCCCCTTCCCACACCCAAGGGAAAATAGTGGTTGTGTATTTCTATCGCTGGCGAGTTTACTAGAATACCTTGCCGTCTAGAACTGGTCATTCCTATCGACTAAGGCCCAACAAACAATATGCAATCAAACATCACTCATACAGCAATATCCCTAACATATGTCCGTATTTTTGAAAATTTTGGAAAAGAAATGCGCAATTGAACACGGCCGGCGAGGCAGACGAGACGTGTGACGTAGTGATTCTCATTCCCTCTCCTCTTCGCCTCGTCCACTCGAGCAGGCGAATTGAAGCGAGTAGGAGCGAATCAGGGTAGCTTCCCCTGATTTTTCTCAATTGTTCGAAGAGAGTTGTGACGTCACATTCTTCGCTTGATCGCATCCTTCTTTTTGCAAAAATACGGCTATCCGTTTGGGATATCGATGTATGAGTAACATTTTGGAGTTCATAGCGTCCCGTTCCAACCCTTCTGCGGCCTTAAGGGGGGACACTACCCAGAGAAAAAAAAATTCTGCAAAAAACATTGATCTTGAAAAATTACATACTTACATCCATCTACATCCTGAGGGTATTCCCAGAAATTTTCACTAGTTTACACTGCATAGTTAATTTTTTATAAATTATTTTCTGTCCACCGAAGCTAAAGAAAAGGTAGGGTTTGGAGCACTTTGAACCACATTTTTCTCTGTTCCACTTTTTGGCACAAATTTCATTTTAGTCAATCTATCGTTTGATAATGGCATTACAGGGAAGGCTCGTTCTTCACTTTTCCTGACTGAAATTTAATAAGGAATGTGCCTATGGAGTTTGTCACTTTATGGATGTCTTTTATAAAAAATATTTACAGTTCGTCGGAGACACAGAAAACCAAAAAGTTGACCAATTTTGCAGAAGAGAAAATTGATAGAAATCAATTACTTTTCACAAAATACTTTCCATAGGTGCACCTCCTAGGCATTCTGCTACATATCTAGCGAATAAAACTCTTGAATATTGTGATAATTTTCCGACGATAGATTAACTAAACAATAAAGGGGTGTTGCTGATAGAAGCTGCCCTAATTTCCTTCCCACTTAACATACAGACCTGAAATTTTGTCATGCGCCCTCTAGCATGACCACCAGCCTACCCTGTAAATTTCATTAGTTTTAAGCCGAGGGTTCAAAAGTTGACCCTCCAAGGGGGTGTCTCCCCTTAATTTGCGAAATCCAAACTTCGTTTCAGCATCCCTTTAAGGTCCTAGCCTCAAAGCTCGAGTCAATCTTTGCGACCCAGGATGGGGGAAAACGGCAGGTCAAGCTCACCCACTCCGGATGGTCTCCCTTCCCACATTTGGCACAGGGCTTCTCATCCTGGGGCTCCTCACCCTCCTCGCTGCTGTCCTCTTCCACCCGCACTGCCACACAGAGGACACACTTGTCGGCACTTCCGAAAGCAAGCCACACATGGAACATCTTGGAACGCGAAAAACTAAAGACCTTGTAGAAGCACTACAGAAAGGTAACTGTTGAAAGGTCAGAGGGATAGGGAACAGATATAGACATTTCTCAGAGAGCATCGTTCTCTGTGCCAGTGGTCGGCCTGCCGAAACCTAAGGCTCGACAAAGCCAGGGCCATTAAAAAGTTTGTTCAACGTTTGAATGTTCACTGCAAATTTCATGCCAAAAACGTAGTCCAGAGATGCACAAGGCGGGCTTTGAATGCTAAAAGAGAATAATGTTTCTACTGACACCTTAGGCAGACAAGCTGGGGCAGCTGTTGCAATGTCGTAACTCGTTAAAGGGACACTGACGACCCCCCCCCTCCCCAATTTTTTTTTTTTTTTGACAGGCGATTTATTATGGTGTCGGAAGACTACTCACTCAATATTTTGCTACGGCGTCACTTATATTTTTAATAAAGCAAAAAAACGCAACTCCTCAGAACCGAAACTGGACTGGGGAGGAGGAGGAGATATAGAGGAGGAGACAGTTGACAAAAGTCACGTGGCTGTGTAACTTCATTTTTTCAATCAACGTATTTACAGCTCTTCAGAAGTCACAAGAAATGGGTATCATATTTCTTTTCAGTTTTTAATATTGAGTGTGTGCCTTCAATGACCCACGACTTTGAATATATTAGCTGGTTGTGTCTAAACCATAAAAAACGACACGTGACAGCGGAGAAGAGTGGGAGTGACTCAAACAGGCCAGTTCTCGATTGGCGCTTTTCGGGCGGAAAGAAGACACATTTCGAGTCGCCAATTGTTTTCTGGGTAGTTGGGCTCTCATATGTCATGTGCAGCTGAAAATCTCGGCAAGAATAAATACCCTGTCAGTGTCCCTTTAGACCTGATGTTCTTTCACGGAGACAGTGTTCTTTGATAAGAGGGTCGTGGCCCGCAATGGTCGGGGCAGTTTAAGTACCAAAGTCATTGTAATAAACCCTTGAGGCGTGGGAGTGCATGGGAATCTTGCATGCATACACCCGAGCAACTAAAGTGAAGTGTTACAACCTGCATCGGTAAACACAGTCCAAAATTTCTTTCCCTTCTAGCCCAGAAGGTTCCCTAGCTTAGAGAGTTAGGGTTCAATAAAATGTAGATGCGGTGACTGGAACCATTTTTTAAGCTGCCAAAAACCTTCACAATTGCAATTCATTTTTTCTCACTCACTCTCTCTCTTGTTCAAACAAATAAGATGACTTCTTTGACTAACCGACACAGAAGAAAGGAACCTTTTGTTTTCAAAACAATTTCATCACCTGCTTATCACTCACAGGTAATGTAAAACCCTTTCTTTTTCCCATGAATTTGCCACAATTCACATACTCCCACAACCTTTTGTCATAACAGCAGGCAGAAGTCGGCAAGAAACCCAGAAAACTTGAAGACCTAACCGGTAACCAATCGGTGGACTCAAAATCCACCAAGCACCCTAGTGCAAGAACCATTCACGTGTCGATTTCAACAGCGCATGGCTTGCGACAAAGTTGGGATCCCTACTCCCTAAAACAACAGGATCTATACACCGTTTCACTCTAAGGGCAAGCACAGCAGCAGCTACAAGAGCAAGCTCTCAACCTTCAGCCCTCACCCCCCTCCCCACTCCCTGCCAAGGTTGCGCAACCTTACGGCACAAGCGTCGTTCGAGGCAACACGCTCGTGCTTGCACCTTCACATGCACGTACAAGAGAAACAACCTACACGTGGGCACATATGCCAACCGGTGGTCGTACCTTTCTTGACGGTGCGCGCCCGCTTGACCACGACCACCTCCGCGTCCGGGTCCTCCTCTTCGCAGGCGAACTCGTCGTCGTCCTCGTTGTCGAAGCGTAGCACCTCCTCCTCGGCCTCCTCCTCGTAGCCGTCCTCCTCCTCCTCCTCCTCGCACTCGGAGGAGGAGTCCGAAGAGGCCTCCCAGGGGTTGTGCTTGCGCTTGCTCGCCGAGCTCCCGCCGTTCACCCCCGGGTGGCTGCCGGGCTTCCTCTTGCGCCGGCGCTTCTTCTTCTTCCCCTTCTTCTCCTCCTTCTTGGGCGTCGCCTGCGCCTCCACTTGCTGCTCCAGGGCCCCTTTCTGCGAGGAAGGAGGGGTTCTGGATGAGAGCTCGAAAGAGACTGTGAATCTACTTGCAGGGGTGGATTTACTGGTCAGGCTTGGGGGGCATGGTGGGCATTTGGCACAGGAGGGGGGGGGGGGGGGGGGCGGGGTTCTGCACAAAGATCTGACATCATGGGCAAAGTGTTGCCCATACTTATTTATTTATTGCAAGTTTACAGGCCCAGCAGGGCCTTTAAGCCCTGCTGAGCTTTACAAAAAGGGCATTACAAAAGGGGGTGCAAAGAACATAAGTGAGTAGGAACAAAGCACTTACTATTCACTACTACCAATATTCATATATAAGAAATGGAAGAACAAAAGGATGCCTAATGTAAAGACACATACGTCAATAAATAACTATTTTGTTGACCTAATCTTTGTCATTTCACCAAAAGCTAAACATGTTTTGCTAAAAAAAACTGGTTTATGTTGGTTTTTCACTTAAAGAAAGTTACCCCAGAAGTTATGCCCCTCCCCCCCAAATCCATTCCCGACTACTTGGACAAGTTGGATTTTCCGAGTGCCCCAAGCAAAACGGGAATTTGTGCCAGAAAAATTTAGTAGTTCTGGAGGATTAGTAACACACATCTGTACCCTGTAGATTTTACTTAGAGTATGAGATTTGGATAGCTTCCTTTCAAACTGCACTATTCCAAAAACACTTCAAGACATAAACCCAAACGAACAAATTTCATGTTCGTGTTCAGACAGCGTAAGGTAGGTCTGCTTTTGAGATACAACAGCACTGGTTTACGTTGTAGATGAGAGATCTAGCCAGTGCAGTACGACCGCTAGCCTGGAGCTTTAATCTGCATCCTATGGTAGTGATACTCCACAGCATGCCGGTGTGATGCTCATCTAGATTGAAACTGGCAGGGGTGGGGATGAAGCCCAGGATCCCTGAACCCAGGGTTCCTCAGAAAGTACCAGAGTGCAAGTACATCCTCGGAGAAGGTACTTTAAGTAAAGTACCAGTTTGCTAAACTTACTTCAGTAATAGTACTTGAGGTACAATGTACCTAAAGTACTTCCCAACACAGGTTTCCGGTATATACAGTGGCGACAAACCCCGAAGAGAATGGGGAGTCCCTTCATTATAAGCCCCGATAAACACCGATTTTTTCATACGACAGTGAAAAGTGATACCTAAAAATGCTGAATCTTAGAGAAAGAATCAACCCCAAAATACACCCCAAACTAAAAAAAAAAAAGAAAAAAAAGAAACATTAAATTTTAGTCATAATGCCCTCAGGACACAGTTCATTTCGGGGCATGCAGAAGCAATAGCAAAGCTCACTTTCGACTTCCGTGGCGTCTTCACTGGAGGCGTGTAGTCCTTGTCAGTGAGCCGCCCACCTCGTTTCTGCAGAGTGAGCAAGAACTGCATCATCACTGGCAGCACTGTAGTTCCTTTCCTCTGTTCCCAGCATTGTTTATCATCATGGTTGCTAAATGATTGGCAAAGAATTAGACTACTGTAAGGACGCAGAAGCTACACATCGAGGTGTGTCTGGTACGTTTAGATAGCTATAGACACTGTAGCTACTGTGCAAAGAGTATGCACCGTATCCAAAATCTATCCATCAAGAAGCCATGGCAACGAAACTAGTTTTTCATTCTCATTATCGAAGCAAGGGCGAAACTCAACACCACCAACCTTGGGGGACTTGGCGACCTTTGCCTTGACTTCGTTTCCTTCCTGGAGCAATGTCTCCTCGAACTGCTGCTCCAGTGCAATCTGCTGAGCCAACTCCGAGAGCTTCTTCTGCTGGTCGTGTTTGATCCGGCTGCTCCGCCTCCTCCCCAGCCCTTCCTCCTCTTCCAGCTCGTCTTGCGGCGACAACTGCACTCCTAGGCTCAGCTCTGTCGCCAGGCCAAGCTCTGCCATTATGCCCCGCCCTCTGCCTGAGCCCCGTCTTGAGCCCCGCCCCCTTGCCCGTCCCCTGCCCCGCCCCCTTGATCGTCCCCTCCCGGAAAAAGCAATGGCGACTTCGGTCGCCGCCGAATCGACGGCCGTTGGAAAGGCGGCGGAGTGGTCTTCCTCGCAGAGTTTTTTGGGCGGAGGGGCCCCCTGGGAGCGGCCTCTGCCACGCCCCCTTCGACCCCCTCTGCCTCGACCCCTCCACCCCCTTCCCCCCCTCCTCTGTCCTCTCCCAGGAGGCCTGGGCACAGATTCGGATTCGTTGACTTCGACCGCTTCGATTGCGGGGTCGGTTTCTGTCGTCTCCTTTTCGGATGCCAGCTTGGTCGTCGAGTCCGCGTCTTTTGCTTCGCCCTCCTTCTCTTTGGATTTGGTTTCGCTCGTTCTGGTGACTCGCGTTTTCTGTGGTCTAGTGACCACAGGCACTGGCTTCGTGACAGGTTCCGCTTCAGCTTCTTTGTCCTTGGTTGCTTTGGCTTCGGAGTCGCTTCCTGCCCCTTCCTCGTGAGGCGCTGCCTCGGTCACCGACACGTCTCCAGCCCCGTCCACTTTTTCCTTGCCTTTTGATTCGTCCGTTCTCGGAGCCTTCGTCTTCTTGTCTCTAGCACCCGTAGGTGCTGACTTTGTGGAAGGTTCAGCCTCAACTGCTTTGTCCGCATCTTCTTGGCGAGATGCTCTAGCTTCAGAGTCATCCTTGATTCCTGTTTTCCCAGGCGAGACAGATTCGTCCTCAACTTCGACGTCGGCTCCCTTCCCTTTCCGTTTTGCTTCGCTCGCTTTAGATGCGGCTGTTGCTGTCCTGTGGCCTCTTGTAGCTGTGGACGTTGCTCTTCTGCCAGACTCAGATGCAGCTGCTCTGCCCCTCAAAGCTTTTCGAGTTGACTTGCCCTTTCCGTCACCTCCCGTTTTCTCTTTTCCAGCTTCTGCTCTGATGTCGGAAACGGGGGCTTCACAAAGTTTGGCGTCTTTGTGTCCTTCCTCTTTCCCAGGCCCTTTGGACTCAGCATCAACTTCAACTGCCTCAGTACCAGCCATTGTACTGGATTCAGCAATTGCTGACTCCTCTTTAGCAATGGCTTCCATAGTTGAAACACCATCTGTCTTTGCTGTGATCTCGGCTGCTGTTGTCTGACATTTAGCGATATTTGGTGATGCTTCTGAACCAGACTCAATTCTCCTCTTTTTAGTTTTGGGAGTTTTCTGGGGCACCTGAGCTTTCGCTTCATTACTGTTATTGACTGCCAAGTCTTCGGGCGCTCCTCCGCTTTCAGACGCCACAGCTTCAACTTCAACTTTTTCCCGAAGTCTCGTTTCCTTGGGCTCCAATGTTTCCTTGTCTGTGTCTTGACCTTCTACTGCAAGAGCCGTTGGTTGTACCGTGGGTTCGCGCTCCTGTTCTTGTTGCGCTACAGCACTGGATGAAGTCTTGGTGGATGTATGTTGCTTCTTGGTGTCATCGGCTGTTATTTTTGTCGATGCTCCCTCGTTGGCTGCTGCCTTTCCTAAACCTTTCACAGGTGTTTTAGGTCTAGTCTTCTCTTTCGAAACGCCCGCCTTGACTTCTGCAATTGTGGCTTCTGTGCTTTTTCCTTCATCCGCTGTTTTGTGCTCTTTAGAGGGTGCTCTGGCAGTGACCTTCTGGCCATCACCACTGTCGTGTGTTGCTTCCGCGGAAGGCTTCACTTTAACTTGTCCCGCTTCAAACACTTTCTTAGATGTTTTCACGGGTTTTAGAGCCTCAAGTTCCTTTTTATCGGGTGTGGTTGTGGTATTCATAGCCTCGCCTTCACCCATGGTTTCTTTGCTTTCAGAGACCGTTTCAAAAGCTGTAGTTGTTGCCTTTTCCTTAATCTTTTGGACCTCAGAAAGCACTTCATGCTCGGGGCTTAGGAGTAAGCCTGGAACATCTTTCTGCGCAGCTTCCTTTTCGTGATCTTCACACTCATTTCGACTGCTTTTTTTGTGAGAATTGGCAGCTTCCGGATGTGGCCTATGGCACTTCTCAGACTTCTTTGTCGCATCCTCCAGATCAACTTTCTTGGGGTCCTTTATTGAAACACCCTCAGATGTTTCCCCCTCCTTTTCCACCCCTTTCCCAGAGTCAACCTCCTTTGCCTTTGGACTGTCTGTTATTGCTGATTCTACTGTCGCTTGAGTGCCATCCTTATTCAATTCTTCTGTCGCAACAATGCCGGCGTCCTCTTTGACAGTTGCAATGCATTCATTGCTGACTGCATCAACGGTAGTGACAACTGGTTCTGCAATGTCCTCAACAGGACCTGCATTCCCTTCACCATGTTTGCATGTTTCTTCAGTGGTTTGCTTGATAGCAGACTCTTGCGAAGGCTTTAATGAAGTAGCTTTACTCTTCTTATCTTTGCTAGGGCCTATGCCACCAGGATGGATACCCGGCGCCTTTTCAGCCACTGGTTCTGAACTGCTGGATTTGCTTGGCTCTTCCTTAGCGGGGTCCTGTTGGCTGTCTTCACAAGCTTTATTAGAGGTTAATAGGTGCACCGAGGGAACGGACCCAGACTCTAGACATTGACTTCCTTTCTTTACTACAACTGCCTTTATACAAGAGTCATCAGATTTTTCAGGTGGGTCTGCTTTTTTATTCACAATTTTGACAGCTGAGGAACCTTCAGCTTTCTCTCCCTTCGTTGCATTACTTGCCAGATCACTTGGAGATCTCTTTTTTCTTTCTTTTTCAGAAGAGCTGGTAGTGTCCAATTCAGGTTTCTTGTGGACATCACTGGCCTCACTCGGTAAACTGGGCTGGCTCTCATCTGATTCATGTCCTGCCTCTTGACTTTTCACTGCTGCCTTGGCTGTGCTTTCTTGGGAACTGCTGCCCTTAGGCCCTTCTTTGCAAGACGCATCTAGAACTTCAGCTGCTTCTGCAATTGTCTGCGACTTTGTATCATCAAGCACCATTTCCAGAGCAGTGGTGCTCTTTGCTTCAACTGGTGATGTCTCTTTCAAGGATAACTTAGGACTAATTTGAGCAGGTGCTTTTTCTTGCAAGACTTCAGATGCTTCTGACTCACCCTTCTGAACTAACTCCACCTGCTTTGAATGGACCTGTGGTGGCTGAGCATGTTCCTGATTGCATGGCTCAGAGCAAGGTGTTTCGCTCCGTCTTTCCTTAAGATCTGGTGCTTGAAGACAATGGACTATTGCCGAAGAGGGACGCTGATGCTTGTCCTCGGTTGTTGTGCTGTTACTATGTTTCTCAACAGCGTCTTTTATGACCTTACTGCATGTTGCCTCGGAAGATGTCTTGTCTGACTTGGTGGCCATGGGGTCCTTGCCCAGTTCTTTAGAAGATACCTCAATGTCTGCGCTGCAAGATTCAGAACTAGTCGGCTTATCTGTCTTAATGGCTCCTTCTGCTGAAGACTTGACCAAAGCTGTGCTTTCTAGTCCGCATGCTTTAGAAGTTTCAGAAAGTGGACTCCTCTGACATTCCTCTCCCTCTTTGGAAATCTCACTTTCTGGCTTTGCAGTGTCCAGTTTCCTCTGGTCGGTTGTAGGTTCTTGCTTTTCCTTTCCATCTTTCGGTTTCTTGCTGTCTTTCGTTTCCTCACAGAGAACAGACTTCTTCAAATCTTCACTTCTCTGAACTGTATCTCCAAGCTTTAGTTTGTCTGTATGGTTTTTACTCTGTTTCTTCGTGGTTGAAACATGCTTGTCACCTAGAGGGGCACCACTCTCAGTTTCTGAGCATGCTGCTGTCTTGCCCGGTGTACCCGAGGTCAATGCATCCGTAGAGGGCACTTCTGCAGGAGGAACATTGACGGTGGGAATATCTACACAAAGCACATCCACTCGAGGAGCTTTGACAAAAGATGAAACGCACTTCTTCGCGGGAGGTGCAACGGAGGGATGGGCAGCACGTGAATCCGTGGCTGAAACGTCCGCAACAGGTACACTTGGAGCTGTCGCACCCTTGATCGGTGTATCTTCAACAGCTTCTTTCTTGGCAGCTAGACCTTTAGAAGACTTGTCCATAGCAATGGGATCCTTAGGTGACACTTCCTTGGTAGGGGCCTTTGCTTCCAATGCAGGCATATCTGCAGTCAACGCTTCCTTAGAGATCTCCGCAACCATCAATGCAGATGCATCCGAAGCCGCCATATTATTTAAGGACACAGCCTTCGGAGGTTTGTCTTGAGAAGGTGCATCCTTAGCAGCTGCTGCACTCGCAGCAGGATCATCCAAAGTAGGCGTGTCGGACGAAACGCAGGTGAGATCCAACGCCAGGGGCAGTTCTGATTTTCTCGCCGAGTCCTTCTTCTTGCCACCACCAGGGGGAAGGGCAGCAGCGCCCTCGTGGGCGTACGGAATGCTGCCTGGTGACTCAGGCTGACCGTTCTTCTCAGGAACCTTCACCTCGTCGCTCTTCTCTCCCGTCCTCAGGTCCTCCGCACCGACATCGACAAGCCGCCTTGTTTCCGAGGGCGTTGCGACGACAACAGCTGCCGGCGCCTCCGCTTCTTCGACGGCGGTGGGGCTCTCCCGGTGAACCGCCATAGAGAGGTCGCAGGCCAGGGTCTCGGCGGAAGACCCATTCCCGTGTGACCCGTTAAAGCTGTGCGCCGCAACTGGCTTGTCGGAGGGGGGCGGTAGTGGCCGGATGACGGAGACCTTGGCAGACGGCGGACTGTTTGCAGAAGACTGCTTAGACTCTCCTTCCACGCTGGAGCGGGTGCAGAGGTCTTCCGCGTTGGTCTGCATCGCTCCGGTCCTCCCATCTTTGCCGGCGCTTTTTTCGGCATTGGTCTCGTCTTTTGCTTTGCTGCTCTCTCGAGCGGCCGTCTCGCATGACGGCGCTTGGTCCGTTTCAGTGGGCTTGGGACTCTGTGTGGTTGGTTTTTGTGGCACGCTTTCTGCTTCAAGTTCGTCTTTCTTCTCTGGCACACGCTCCGCTTCGCAACCTTCTTTCTCTTCTTTTGATGATGTAGGTTTTGCTGGAGTGGAACACTTTTCTTCCCTTTTTGGGGCTTCTTCTTCTACCTTGGCTTCTTCCAGGGGCTCCTGCTTGACTGCGACATGGGTGGAAGTGACCTCGCTGCCCACCATGGAACCCGAGAAGACGACAGAAAGCGTCTCTTCATGATGGGGCTCTTCTTTTTTCACTGCCTGGCCGGTGTCTATGACCGCTGGCTTCTCATCAGCTGGTAGCAGAGATCCAGGTTTCTCTACACAGATAGCAAAGAAAGGCAATGTTATCCAATTGCATTTGCATAGTTAAAAAAAAAAAAAACTGGCAGCTGCTTTATTTTTAATAACTTGAATAGAGCACAAGCTCCAATACGTTGAATTGTACTGAGGCATCACAATTCAGCACTTGCAATAAACCACACAAAATGCTTGTTTAGAGGGCATTCAAGCCCTTTGCTAGGTTTACGAGGATGTTGAAATGTTCAAAGTTCTGAATACGGATGCATTCAATTCGGCCTTCAAGGTAAAGAAATTAAGATAATTCTCCAATAACTTTAACATTTTCAACAACGGCCACGACAGACTGTTTCATCCTTGTTGAGAGAGCTTCCCGCTGACATAGGCCTATCAGAAGCTAATGTAGCAATAACCAGAACCAAGTCAGAAATTTAAAAAAACAAAAAACAAGAGAACCTGACTTTGGTACAGAGGTTGCCATACAGTGGAAAAAGCCAGACACCATACATTTCAGGACGGAGCCTCGAGGACGTTGGTCTTTTGTCGCGTCACAAGCATATAGCAACTCGTTACGGACCGCAGAAAGAACCTCGTAAACAACAAACGTCAGTAAGTGCAACCTCCACTGGACGCTCGGTATGTAAAGCACTCTGTTTGGCATTACAGCGCAGATGGATGTTTTGCACGAGAACGCTGTTCTTTCCCAATTATCAATCTGCTCCTCCTCCACATTGCAACAACTGGATATACGCAGGTCTTACGAGAAAGTAGTCATGCCATCCGCATCAATACGCACACTGCAAACCGTCCGAGGCAAGTAGGAGAATAGACGAGGCATCGAATGGGAAGCGGGGCCCACCTTCGGCCTTGGCGGGATCCGGTTCGGTCAGGTTGCTCTCTCCCGTCTCACTGTCCAGGGACGAGCTCTCCTCCTTCTTGACCACCGCGCAACTGCCTTCCAGTTCAGAGATCAGCTGGGCCAGTTCGTCCCGAGATCTGTGCGCAGGGAGTCCACGGCACGCAAGCTAGATGCAGTTAACGGTCGCGAACAATGCCAGGTGTGGCGGGCAAGAGCAACACGTCACAGATAACGAGCTCGTAGCGCTGGGTTTCCTTCATCAGCTATTGGACAAAGGGGACAACACAAGTGGGACTTAAGTGTTGTCTCAGTGTTCGACTGGGACCGGTGCACGGTCAGCAACGACGCGAGTCCCGGCCGAAAGATGATGCAGCACTTGTGTCTGACAGTCCGACTTCTATGTCGCTTCCGGTAGGTGACAGAAAAAATTCGGTGCTACCTCCTCGTAACATTGGAAGTGTTGGTGTCTTTCACTCCTTCCTCGTTAGAGGTTGAAGATAACCAGATTTATTTTATTACATCGCTGAGAAAACCCTTGGTTGTTTTTTTTCCAGTTTTGGAAAACTGCAGAGGCACATGTAAGGAAACCTTGCCGACAGTCGTAAACGTTACGAGATATGAATATGACGAGGTCTATGTCACGTTCAGTCTACAGAATGGATTTTCGAATTCTTGGTCAACCATGTGAGTACGTTCCTAGAGCACGAAACCATAAAAACTGTTGCAACAGACATTTTCCAGAGTGGAAGTTAAAAAACACTAAACCTAAGAAAAAAAAAATTTTTTCTGCCTGATTAGGACAGGTATGTGTCAATATAACTGCTTTTAAAAAAGAAAAAAAGAAAATACTGCCTATTTTTTATGTTCTATACAATTTTTTTTTATTTGTGGGCCAAACAGAAATTGTATTCCTGTGGGATGATGACGATAGCACTTCTACCCAACTAACTAGTGTGCGCTCTGGGTTCGCTGGACCTCAGGGCACGTGCACATTAGGTGGGTACAAACGTTATCATTATCATCCCACAAAAGTACAATTTTGGTTTCACCCGCAAATCGAAAAATTCATATTGTAACATAAATATTGGGCAAAAAAAAAAAAATTTTTTTTCGACGAACATTAATTTTGGGACGCGCCTGTCCTAATTAGGTAGGAAAAAAACATTTTTTTTTTAGGTTTAGTGTTTTTTTAAGTGGAGATATAAAAATCAACTAGCAGAAAATGAAAAAAAAAAATGTTTTTCGGAAAGTCGAATATTTCACATCTATACTCCGTGTCACTAGTTGTGTGCAGTGCATGCGAAGGCAATGCCAGGCAAAGAGAGAAAGGGCGAGCACTAGGAAGGTTGGAGGGGAGAGGAGGGCAAGGGAGGGCGAAGGGAGAGCACTAGAGATATTAGAGAGGAGGAGAGGTTTCTGTCCTCCTCCCCAACCTTCCCAGCGCTTGCCCTTTCTCCCCTCGCCTGGCATTGCCTTCGCCTGTACTGCATGTAACTAGTGACACTCAGTATAGGGCCCTTTCCTTTGCAATCTGCAATTACTTTTTGCCAAACACTGTTTTTAAGCGCTAAAATAATAACTCACACCACCTCAGGAACTGAAATATCCATTTAAAAATCATTTCTCGAGGCTGTATTTTATTGCTTTTGCCTGTGGAGCTGGTATCCTTGCAACCATTTAGAATATTTTCATTTACTCATTAGTCAGTACTTGAGTTATACTCCTCTTAGTGCCATTCTTATTTTTTCAAATCATTTCTTCAATTTATAATGTGCTTCTTCACCTGCATGCCATTTCTGTGCCTGCCGGCAAGATGACAAAGAATACAAACTGAAATTGTGCGAGAAATTTAAAAATGCCAGAATGTCACGTTGTGTAGCCTACATTTAAAAAAGCAGCCCAAGTCTAACAAGGCTTCTATCATATTTTCTAAACTCTGCAGGCTCTCCACTAGGTTCAAAGCTGAGAAGCAGTGTAAGTAACAGGAATATGATTATAATATTTTGGTTGTTTCACAATACAGGCATTACCAACATGTGCGCCAATTTTTGTCAGAGTTCTCCTACAACTAGAAGTTTTTCTATAACCCCACATTTTACCTAAAAGGGTTGCCAGTGGTTACCAATCCTCCACAATCATGTACCGGGTAGTTCACAGACCTCGAGCAATTTAGTATTGCTCTCGCCGTGCAGCTGCCGCACTTTTACCGTGTTCGTGCCACGTGTGTTGGACCGAGCTATTACGTCTGCCACCGTGCATCGCCCCGATTCATTTTGCTTCCGGCTACTCACCGTCGGTTGCGACGGATCGACGCGTACCCTTTGCCTTTCCGTCTACGCCCAAACGAACCAGAACATGCATCCTGAGTACTAGGTGCCGCCACATCGTAAAGACACGTTTACCTGCCTCACAGAGCGAAACTTTGAAAATGCATCCGTCAACAAAGATTGTACAGTAGAACCACTAGGTCGAGAGCGGCTGTAGTCGCCAACGAGATGAGAACGAGAGGGCATGTTTTTTGGAATGGAGGGCTCCAGCTTTGGCTACGCGTGAGCGCTTGAGACTCGTCAGACGCTAAAGAGCCGTCGGAGGCGGCAACCCCGCGCACCGGAGGCGGGGCTACCGAAACTCCTCCCCTCCTTTCCTCTCCCGTCGGCGACCGTAGCGCAGCGTGCTGTGGATACTCACTTGGAAACGATGGCCCACGAGCGTTCGTCGTCCGGGTGCTCGCGGTACAACCTCAGGTTGAGGCTGGAGTCCCTTTGCAGCCAGTACTGGTGGCCCCTGACGTCCCTCCCTATTGGCTGCAGCCGCAGGGCGTTGGCTTCCACCTTGTTCACCTCCCCCTTGAACTTGGCGTTGCCGTCAAACTGGAGCTCCAGCAAGCGCTGCGGGGATTGCGACGAAAGGAACGGGGTCAGGAACGGCGCAAGTCGTCGTGTTTGCGCTCGGCTAGCCGTGAAGGTGGGAATTGACGCTGAAAGACTGCCGTCAAGTTTTCGGCGGAAACTAAAACGCAGAGAAACGGACGACCGAAATGCAACCGCAAGCAGGCAATTCCGGTGGCTGCTGCCACGGTGCTCGAAACATGGTTCCGACTGGTGTGCTTGGCACCCGCCTGTGCGTCAAAAGCGGTCTCGAAGTGGCAATGAAGCGCCGCATCGTGCCGCCAGATGTCACAATCAGCGATGGAAGCGGCATTTGACCGTTCATAGCAGCACCTGTAGCAGGCAAACTATTGGTTTGGAGCAGCCACTGACACTTTTGGAGCAGATACCACTTGAATTAAAAAAAAGAAAGTGATTGCAACGCTGAATGAGTTTATATTTCATAATGATTGAGGGTTCCTCTTTGATACTGGGTCGTCTAACTTAATTCCTTTTGTAATAGGAATAGATAGGGTGCAAAAGGAACAGAGAACATTTTTTGTAGAAATAAGGCTCTGGTCAAAGTAGGTCCCATCTATGATGGGCACTTATAAATTGTTCACAAATTAATCATGGCTCAACACATCAGTTGGGAGAAAGCCCTCTAACCTGCCACTTTTACACCCAGTTGTTTATTTAGCTTGAAAATATAATTTCTGTAAAATGCCAGCAAAACCAGCATATCCACTAACATCAATTAAAATATGCATCCCCCTAGTTTTATGAGTCTACAAAACTCAAAACTCAAATATTATAAACTGCAAAAAAAAACACCCAAAAATATGAAAACCTACACTTGTGCCTTAAAAGTGAAACTGCTCTTTAGCAGTGTTGGAACCAGAGTGAAATCAAAGTTTGCTGCTCTTTCGGTTAACAGCTGCCTCTGAACAACTTTGGCTATCGTATTTATTCAAAAATAGACCCTGGTTTTTGTTTGCATTTTCTCTCTGTTTTTTCTCTTTGTCAGCACAGCTTTTTTTTATTTTTTTATTTTACTTTGGAGATAAACGTACAGTCAATACCAAAGGGAGACCTGTAATAGTACAAAGCCTAATTTTCGAACCTATATAGTGCTAACCCAGGTGCTCACTCATGTACGCCGCTGCCCCTAGCACTCCAGTGTAAAGCGGTGGAGCTCGACGTACGCGCGCTGGGGAGAGGCGGCACGGAGGCATGCGGCAGACATGATAATCAAGTGATCTCACCAGGAGTACAAGACCCTGTTTCTGGCTTGTCACAGTAGCCGCCATCCTATTATATTGCAATGCTTTCTCATGACTTTATGCTCCTCAACATTGTCTTGAAATTTGAACACACACATCTGGAGCATTATGAAAAAAATAAACAACGAAAGGGAAAAAATAAAACATTCCTGGCAAAGCAGCAGTCACCCAAAAAGTTATCTTAGTTTTATGCGTGCTTTTACATCGGCTAGACCAAGGGTGCACAACTCAAACATGATGCGGGGCAAAACAATGCTTATTAAGAACTGCGCGGGTTTTCAATATCCGACATCATTGCACTGATTGCCGTCTTGAGCATATCTCGCAGTGTCATGTCCGCGGACCACATGTTGTGCACCCCGGGCTAAACCAATCAAGTGCAGAGAATGTCCCGTGACTTTCACCTTTAGTATGTGTGTTCGTGGTTGTATCTGTTCGAGTCTTTGGCTGTGTTCTGATTTAAGGTGAAACAAACTATACGGTGTGAAGGCAGACTGTGAAATATATATTTCCACCATTTTCTTTTCCTCCTACTCCTCTACCTACTAAAACCGACCAACAAAAAATTATTTTAAATTTTTACTTTTAAGCTTATCTCGGCGCAGATGCGGAGCAATTCTTAGCAAAAATGGCAATCTGGAGCAAGATGTACCAGACTTTCGTTTGTGGTGCAATCTGGCGTAAATGGCATAACACTTCCATCACTGCACGGTCCTAGCGGTTGGCTGCAGAAGTTCCGACAGGAAAAATGAGGAAATGAAAATATTGTTGTCATCGTGCCTTCCCAACTTGCGGCTGACAAAGTTTCTATGGACTGTAAATCTGGAGAGCAACCCGCACCCAAACGGGTGTCTGATCCATCCACCACTGCCGCTGCGACACCATTGTTGCCAGCAACAGCATGACACTTTGATGACGCTATCGGGCGGAAATCGAGGAATGAAAAATGCAGGCGCGGTAAACGTACTAGTTGAAGATGTTTCCCAGGCACCATACTGCCGCCATGCATGATGAAATTATAAGTGTCCAACCTATTTATGTCAATAACTAATTAATCTCGAGTGGCTTCCATTGTGTCTGTGGATTGTGTCATTAGAAGGGCCATATCACGAGCAAAGCGAAGAAAAAACCGGCTTTGTCCTATAGCAGAGCTGTGCCTTGCCTTGAGCACGGCCAGCTTGACTGAGAGTTTAGCCTTGCGGTAGCCAAAGCGTTCCAGTTCCCAGCCATCCACGTTGGAACCCTGGTGGCAGAACTGGGAACAAAAAAAAAGCCAATCAAGGAGTGCAACGCAGAAGCAGCATTTGGGTAAAGGGGCTCGAATTAAACTATAAATTAAGTGAAAATCTTTGTTACCTATGAAAAGCTCGTTGCTTTTCTCGGTAAAAAGCATACAAATTAAGCAAATCAACTTTGGACTTTATGAAGCAAAGAATCACACTTGAAGTATACTTTTAGGTATTTTAGCAATGTGGTTCATGCTTCAGCCCTGTCTGGTAACCAAAGTGTCCATATGAAAAGCATATGTTTAATATGCTATTGGTAAACTAAAAATATAGCTAAAATACATTTTGAGAAGTGCTTCATGAAACCACAAAATTAGTGTACTTTTAGTGTATTGCTTTTTACCGAGAGTTACAGAAGGGTGGATTAATTTCACCGAAAGGCAGAAAAAGATCATTACAAATAGATGGCACCAGCAGCCATATCAGTCTGCGTGATTAAAGGCCCGTTCACACTCTTGCGACCTCTTAAACCTGGGTTCCTTAAAACTTCTTAAACCAGAGAATACACTGGCGCCATCTATTGGGAACCAGTGTAAACTCGGCGGTCCGGCATATTTTTTTTAATTTCTCGCGCATTATCCTTATTTTTTTGGCTCGAAAAACTTTTGTCAATGTTATAAACGAGCCTTTCTATGGGTATTACGCACATTTGACCTCGGAAATCCCGCAAAACCTTCGCTTTTGTGAAATGCAGTTCTAGGGTCACCGCATAGATGGCGCCACAATGTCAGTGTGTTCCCTCATTCTAGAAACATTTAAGAAGTTGTAAGAGATCTCGTCTCTCTCAGTCGTACTCGGTCGCAAGAGTGTGAACGGGCCTTAATGCTCAAAGGGGCCGCGCAATGACATTGGGTCGGAATGTTGCTCTTTTCACACAAGCATACTGTACTTGTGTGACCCCAAGTATACTCACATGCAATGCCACTTAACCAAATGCTTCTTTGTTACGCTGAAATTCGAAGGATACAAGCGGGCTCTATCTTTCAGTCTCTCTTTCTGTCTGTCTCCTGTTAGTTCAATAACCCACCAGCATTACCCACATAGTTTCAAATTACCAGAAAGACACAACAAGCATCGCAACCATGAGTTCATGGCTTTGAAATTAAGACTTATTGGGTAAGCACACCAACACTACAGCCCGGAAGGTCGTGCGTCATTTACGGAAAGAACAGTTTCCTCCCCAAAACAACTTCTAAGAAATATTTGAGTGCGGATAAACTTTAAAAAATGAGCTTAGAACAAATGTCGAATTCCAAACAAGATATATGGTAAAAAGGGTATGTACTACCACCAGATTTCTGCATGCAGGGTAAGACAAGAAACCACTGACCTTGATGAGCGACTTCTCCCATCTGTCCCTCTGCACGCGCCTGTTGGCCTTCCGTAAGAGCAGCAAATGGAGGTCAATCAGGGTCTGGTCCACTGAGGGGAAAAACAACAGACAATGCAAGCAATAGTTTATTTGTTTCATGTTTTTCTACAGGCTTTACTCTATCTGAATAACTTTGGAGCAAGCCCAGGTATATACTCCATTTCACCTTACGATGGGCTGCAGCAAACGCTACAAGCCATCCCAGCCAATCTGGCACTGCGAAAGTGTCACATGACCCCACACGTCGCTGGATACAGGACACTCACACAACATTGGATTGGCTACGATAGCTCAAAGTGTAGTCTGCAATCCATAACAAGGTAAAACGGAGTATGGTAGGTTTTTCCTCTTCAATCAAGTGGTCACTTCAAATGCAACCAAGTCCTGTTCGTCTGCTTTTAAGAGTGAGAAACGCTACCTCTTGACAACCTCGCAAATTCTCAACGAAAATTAAACTCAATATCTTGGGCCTGAAGAATAAAAGTGTCAGTTTTGACAATTTTGGGTATAAATGGTGTCCTGAAACTGGTATTCGGTGACGAACAGCTTCGAAATAAAATACTACAAAAAATGAGAAATAGGTTCGTATTAGACACTAGACTTTGAAAAGTTTTTTTGTTTAGAACTACCTTGCCAGACAAAATGCAGTGACACTTTAATTAAGTCTCACAACAGGAAAAACTTTTTTTTTTTTTTTAAGCACTGTGTTTACCCAAATGTGAACAACTGGGAGAAGTTAAAGCAAAGTTAGCACAACACAACTCTTTGCTATTTCTCCTTGGCAATAAACAATGGAAAGCAAATTGATGCTATTTTCAAGGATTTTTCGAAGGCATTTGATAAGGTATTTCACAAAAATTTACTATGCAAATTGGAAAAAATATGTAAGAACACACAGTTAGTCAAATGGATTTCAGCATACCTTTCAAATCATCGACAATTCATTGTTTATGGTGAACATTGCTCTGACAGACTTTCTGTTGACTCTGGCGTTCCCCAGCGCTCTGGGCCCAGACCTCTCCTCTCCTTGTCGTTTATTAATTATATAGTACAAGATGTTCCGGTAAAAATCAAGTTTTATGCTGATGATTTTATGATTTACTCAGAAATAGCTAGTGCTTCCGATCAACTTTTGTTACATAGAGCTTTTTAAAATATCGCAGAATGGTGTACGAAGTGGCAAACAACCCTTAACTTTGAAAAAACGTTTTTTATGAGAATTACAAAAGAAATTCTTTGAAGTTTGTTTACAATACTAAAAATAATCTCATATCATAATTAACACAATATGAATACCTTGGACTATGGATCACTCATAATATTACTTGAATAAAACAGATTTATTATGTGACATCTAATGCTCTTCAAAAGTTATTCTTTCTTAGAAGGACCCTAAGACTTTCTACCCCTTCCTTGAGTCTTCTAAGATATAAAGCTATATAGTCTTACCAACATTTGATTACGCGGCTATCATCTGGGATCCCTTCGCCAAACTAAGCATTAACAAGCTCGATCATATGCAGAAAAAGGCAGCTCCCTACATTTATAATAGCTTTGGACATACCTCTATAACCAAACTTTGAACCAGAGCTAACTTAAAGTCATTATCTCACAGAAATCGGCATTCTGGACTAAAACTTTCGTATCAATTAATAAATGGACATTATAGGATGGATCTGTCTTACCTAATAAACTTCTCATCAGGCTATGCTACCCGACAAAGGCATGCCCTAACAATAACTCCTTTTCGATCGTATAATAATTGCTTCAAGTACTCTTTTTCCGCAAACGGTGACTGATTGGAACAACCTTTCTGAAAGTGTTGTTACGCAGCCATCATTGTCTTTATTTGAATCCCTCTTAAATTAGTTTTGTCCCTCTGTAAAATATGTGTTCTTTTGTTTCTCCGACTTGTTTGCTATTTTGTACACCTGCCCGTCTTATTCACCACCAAATGTACCTACCTGCTAAAATCCCTCTCAGGGATTGTAGTATCAATAAATAAAGAAAAGACATGCAGCACAGCTGAATGTATGCATCCGCTGAAGTGTACAACGCTTGACAGGGTTTACACATTTGCAACTTTCAAAAGTCGTGCAATTCTTAAGAAAAAACAACAGTCGTAACAACTTGCTGTAAGGTTGTGACCTCTAATGCACTACAATCACCTAAACAGTTGTACAAGGGAGGCTGCAGTTGTCCGTACTCTCGGAGCAACATGATCAGTAGCTATCCAGCAAAACCTTACAAGGCCAGTAATTAACACAGCTCGTTCAGTCACATCAGCTTACACAGTGGCACGCTATGTTTGAACCCAAAGGTGATGCTATGATGAGCCTAATCACCAAAAATCATGCAATTTAGCTAAAACTTAGGTACTTATATGAGATCTATCAGGGAGCGGGGAATATACTTCGTGCAAAACCGCGCGATCAGTTTTTTTTCCAGCGCCGTACATGGTGTGTTTATCGAATTCTCGTCTCCGAACACACCCTCTTTTAGCGATCCCCTTCCAATTTCTACCCTTAGTTTTTTTTTTGTTGTTTTTTTTTTTTCATTATTATTATTGTTGTTTCGAAAACAGGAGAAACGGAGGAGCATTACGTCAAGCGACTAGACGAAGGTTGTTTCGCGGCTCTGCGATTTTGTTTTTAGTGTCTATTGAATTTATGTCGATGCGAGACGTCGTGCGCAGTTACACAACGCTGAGAACAATGTTCCTACGCGAGCAAGAAACAAGACACCGACGTTGTAAACAACACCCGGGACTTTGAAAACAGCCTCTTTCTTTTTTTCCCCCCTAGGTGAGGGTTTTACGCGAGCAAAAACAACGCAGTGCTCACGGACGAGGAGTACTGTAAATCCTTGAACGACTGGGCAGCTTTATTGACTTTAGATGCATCATTAAATAGGTTATTTTAATCGGAAAGTAAACGCGTTAGCCATTAAATTCGCTTCGGAGCCAGCAGCCACTACGGGCAATTTGAATAATGCCGACTGAGCGCTTGACTGCTAAAACGATAAAGACGTTACGCTGCCCTACGAAGAAAGGCCTGTTAAACAGGTACAGTCGAGTCGATGCGACAGACACGTCACATAAGGCGATTCCGAGCGAGCGATTGAGTGATCAAAGATCGAAGGGCTGCGGGTACCAACAGGCAAAGGTGTAAAGCGATACGATGCCAATGGATCGTAATTTTTTTTTCTTGGAGGCCATAATCGCAGGGTGCTCGGCGGCGTTCCCAGGTCACGTACCGTTCTTTGTATCCTCTAGCATCGACTGCAGCTCGGAGATGGAGATGTTGAGGCCGCATTGCTCGCCGAAATTGAGGATGAAGGAGCAGATCACCGCAAAGTTTGGGTCATCATGACAGTTTTCGTCGGCGCCAGACGCCATTTTCCAAACGCTCGTCGACAAAGGTTGTGTCCGTCAATGTTGACAGATCGGTGGCATAAATCTACTAACATTTTTATTTACTTCTTATAATAAGTTGTGTCTTATTAGTAAATAAATGGGGCATATTTGGTTTTATTATCCTTGCATTCGCTAAATTCTTGAAACTTAATCTATTTATAAGAAAGCATTAAATTAATTTAAAGAAGAGCTTTGAAGTATGTCTTATAATATACCACAGTCATAAATATAAATTAGGTATATTATTAAATATATATTTATGTGTTTCTTATTGCTTAAATAAGGAAACGCAAGAGCACCTATAATTCGAAACTGAGGTTCGCCTTGGCTATTTTGATGAGAGCCGGGATTTTTTTGCGTGTGCGTGTGTGTGGTGTGTTGTTCGGGTCGGTGACGTGATCACGTAACATGACTGAGACGATCAAGAGGCTTTTGGAGACATTCTTTCCGGGAAAGTGTTTCGAAGATGTCCTCATACGCCAGAATTTCACGAACTGTAAGCATACGTCTCGTTCGTTCGATGCAATCGAGCGTGGTCGACGCGGTTCGAGCTGTTTCGTCTGCTCGTGCCCTTGCCTCGGCTAGCTTCCTTCGACTGAGGAAAACCTCGATTTAGAGCGTCGGTGACACGCAAAGATTTGCTCTAAACTGGTTTATAATACGTCCGCTATGTATTCGTTATTTTATCTCTCTATCTATCGTTCTCTGCTTCCGCCTCTTATGCTGGTATCACGACGAGTTGGCACTCCTACGCCGCCGTTTACGCCTGGCCGCCTTTCTGCTATTTTGTCAGCGCGTATTCAAACACGCTTACACGGTGTCTCTTGTCTCATCAGTGCTAACTAGTTTCCGAATAAGTGTTGCACTCTTATCCACTTGCCTTCTTTTTGCATTCTGTTCTACCACGCAGAAACGCTTACTCCTCAGGTTTTCTGCGATAAGAGCCTCCTTTCCCAAAGGAGACAAATTTATCTTGATGCGGACAGTGAATTAGCGAATTTTTTAAAGTTACATTTGTTTTATGACTGCTGTTAGTGTTCTGTAGATTGTATTCTGATCCTCTTGGCGCTAAAAATGTTGTCTCGGTTAAGGCGGTAGTTTCATCGCGACTTTTCATTGGGCTAGTCAATTTGGGTGTTTTACGTGCCACATCAACGAAGGGCATCTGGCAAGCCCCAGCGACCACCTCGGGATCTCTTGACGTGCAACCAAAATCTCGGTCCAGGATTCGAACCTGCTCCCTGGGGATCCGTAGGCCAGTGCTTTGCCACGCAGCCATCGAGGCGGCTTGATTGGGCTATAGCATACCTAAACCAAGTGAATAGCACTAACAGTTTCGTTCACAATTTCACCCCCCAGGAAGAAAGAGTGTTTGTCTCATTCCCGCTTGTGTGTGTTTGTGGATGTGTTCCTTGAGCAAACATCAGGAAAAAAAGTGACCGCAAGGTCATAGAGTCTTGGTTTTCCTGCTTGTCTTTAAAGCGACAAAGCTTATTGTCTGAAAAGAGCTTTATTTTATTTATTTTTTCTTACTTTTTTTTTTCTTTCAATTCCAGTGGAGTGCCTCAAGATAGCAGTGAGCAAGTGTCTAGGCTATGGAATTATAGTCGGATCCACGCTTGGTGAGTAGCCAGATTTCTCGTCTGGCACTGGTATGTGCACTGCTTTCTTGAACCTGATCTGTCTGCGATCGGACGTCAAGCAGTGATTGGCCTCATCTGTGAACCCATTACTAATTCAGCTGTCTATGCACCACTCCAGCGCTTATGACCCGAGCAAGAAATGTTGAGTCACGGGCAGTGAATGCATGTGTGACGTCCAATCTCCCGTAAAAGAAAGCTACTTTGCATGCTCAGAACGAGTTTTACAGTCCAGAAAACAAATATTCCAGCATGCAGAAGGCGATTAGTGGTATGGTCTGTAGACGTCACCAAGAAACACAATGTCTCGCTTGCAGACAACCTAGGGATCCTTGACGAAAGAATCGCAAACAGTTAACTGTTGCATATACTCATTCAGTAAATAAACAGGATATGCCATATTTTTACTGAATACTAGTTATGCCAAGGGGTGTGCAAATAGTGGTTAAAATCAAATAGTGCTGCGTCGTTTAGACCTTTTGCTGTGCTAAGGAAACCCACTATGTAGCATCTCTCTCGCACGAAGAGCTTGATGCAAAGAGGGCATGGTCACGCGATGAAAGGCGGGCGATTGATTGGTTCGGCGAGTGCATAGCTTCCACTGACGATAAATAGATAACTTTCGGGCTTGCCCAGACACCTTTAAGACTTTGCCTTTTCCTCAAACTGCCACACTGGAATAACCTTCCTCTCTGAATCACTCGGGCCAGTTTACCTGGCACTTTTTCCCTAACAGCTGGCCACTGCTTTAGTCAACGGAGTTGGATTTCTCTCTGTTTTTATTTGCTTCTTTGTTACCAGCATTATTTTTGTTTTCCCCCCCTCTTACAGTCCTTCTGTCAAGGAATAATAGAAGTTTCAAAGAAATAAATGTAGAAAAATGCTTAGGGGCTAAAACAGCTGTGTTGGGTGCCAGCTGGTACATTCTGTTTCACTTTTCGATGGGCTGCAGCGGACGCTACAAGCCATCCGAGCCAATCCAGCATTGTTAGATATCACGTGATCACGCGCCCCAACCATTGCTGTGCCCCCCCCCCCCCCCCCCCCCCCCCCCCCCCGAAAGTCTCCCGACACTAGCACGGCATTTGATTGGTTCTCATAAGTTGTAGCATATGATCAAAGATAGGCGCCGAAAAAGCAAGGACAAGAAGAGACGTAGAGCGCCAGTGTTTACGTTTCTTGTCCCTGTTTTTTTGCCGCCCATCTTCGATCATGAGCCCACTTGGCCAAAATGTGATCTTAATCGTAGCATATGATTCACGGTCCATTGTGAGACTAAACGGAGCATAGTACGCTTTTATTTGCATCCTATTTCCTGTTTGCCTCATAGTTGGAGACAGAAAAATCCAGCTTTCTCTCGTTATTTACAGTGTGACCTGCATGATATCTATGAGCCAATGCCCGAGACTATTTAACTCCCTATGTTTCCTATATTGGATCAAACTTTTTCGGTCTAAAAAAAAAAAAGAGGGTGGCAAGAATGGTGTGGAGTCTAGCCAGTGAAGAAAGGCCAAGAAAATGTTTACCATTTTGCTAGACCACCTGAGACTGGGTGGAAAAAACACGACGACGTCTCAAAAAGATTGAGACGTCGTTGTCAAAAAAAGAAATTGAGACATCGTTGTGTTTCTTCCACTCTCAGGTGGTCTAACAAAATGGCAAACCTACACCAGCTCGCCTGCACCCTAACTGTTTTTTTTAAGAAAATGTTGGCAGCATTCAGTAAGATGTGCTTTCCTCTTTACAGTGAAAGTGCCGCAGATTGTAAAAATAGTGCAAGCCCAAAGTGCCGAAGGGATCAGCGTCACGTCGGTGCTCCTGGAGCTCATAGGGGTGACTGCATCTACAGCGTACAGCTATGCACAACGCTACCCTTTCAGGTGAGCAACCCTCTGTCGGCTCACTCTGGTTTCTACCTCACATGCAGCTGCGTGCCACCTGCTTTGCTGTTGCGTCTTCATTACTGTCAAAAGTGTATCGGTGCCGGAGGAAGAGAAAGGGATCATCTCCTACTCGGAGAGAGGGGGAGGAGGGGGGGGAGAGGAGAGGAGACAAGAATCATTTCCTATCTTCAGAACTGTTTACTAGAAATATTCTAACTTTCTGGAGGGGTGGATTGACTGCTCCCCCCCACTTCTTCCTTATCTGACACCCAGACATGCATTCCATCATTAGATTCTATCATGTTCAAAGTAAATATTTTGCATTGAATTTCTTTGCGTGGTGAGTTACAGCGAGTAATAAACAACAGCCTCTTAACGCCTCCTCTCAGAAGAAAGTAATCTTTCTAGCCCTAAAAGATACATAGGGTAATGTACTTTCTTCTTTTTTTCGATAGCAAACTAATTACATTATAAATTATTTATTTATTTCATTAAAATATTCAACCAGTTTTGTTTAAAACTTTAGTTAGGGTGGCTATAGGGTTTCTTTTTTTTGTATTATTAGGCAGGAGATCAAGCTATAGGGGGCGCTCTTACCCGTTTGTTTCCCCACACCTCAGTGTTTACTCAACACAAGGCCTGTGCACATGCCCACAGGCCTCATGGGCATGTCCATGTCATCTTCTACAATAGAGCGCGGGGCACAGTGTAATGTAATTACACTGTGCCCCGCGCAATCGACAAAGTAACAATCGACAAAGTACTAACAATCGACAAAGTAACGTTAAGTGCCGGATCTATCCCGAAAGCAGTCGTCGGAGAATGCGAGCTTGACCCATTTAGGCTTTTATGCTGAGCTGTACACCGCGCATGCTGCATTGTCCATGCAGGCCGGAGTGGTAATAAAAGAGCCCCTCCTCCCCCTCACCGAAGAACACAAACTCCAGCCGAACGCTGACGCCGTGTTTGGTTATGTCGGCCGAGTGTTGAGTCATTGTATTTGTTGTCCCCATCCATGTAGTTCTAAAGTTAACCACTTGGGGCGTCACGATCTGTCCTCCTCCCCAATACACTTGGGTCGGCAACCTTTTTCAGTGGCAGGCCAAGTTGCCACGAATCCGACAAGGAGGGGGCCGAACGACAAGTCGCGAAGGGAGGGGGTTCCTTCTTTTCCGCAGTCCTTCTCTTGTCATTGGTCGGTTTCAGCTACCAGTTGCCAGCAATTTTTTGTCAGAAAACTAAGCTATGGAGAAAAAAATGCTTCGTACCGCACTGCAACTCGGGATACATGACGTGCAAGGAGGGTATGTCTCTTTTTGGCACTCCTAAAGAAGAGGACCGTCTAAAGAGTTGTGCACAACTTAAAAATGACGCGGGTCAAAAATTTTTTATTGGGAATTGTGCGGGTTTTCAATATCTGGCATCCTCGCTCTGGTTGCCGCCTTGAGCACACCTCACAGTGTCATGTCCGTGGGCCGCATGTTGTGCACCCCTGGTTTAAAGGCATGGCGTATTGCAATCTTGCACGTAGACCGCCTGCTGCAGCCAACAGACCATGTCTGCCAGAAACATTTAGAGTCCAAATTTGTCACGAAATCGTGGGAAGCAATAATATACAAGGGTCAAGTCCTCCCAAATACACCACGGAAAGCTGCTCTGGCAAAAAAAGCAGTCCCAACGAAGCTCCTGGCCTGCCCTAGCCACGTGTCAAAGAAGGAGAAAAAAAAAAATTCCCTCGGAACGTTGGTGCCTTTCATTCAGCAAACAATGACGTGTCCTAGAGGAATGCTCGAGAAGCTTGCATGCCACCGACAAAGACGAATTATAGTCTGAAGCCTCGCAATCATGCAGCACGGTTAGCAGAAAAAGTGTCTGCAAGTTGTGTGAAATTGGATGCCACCTCGTCGGAAGCAAAGCCCCTCGAGAAATTTTTTGAGGAGGTCGAGAACGTACTCCTTCCAACTGCGGCGTGGGCCTGTCGCATGGTTGAAGCCAACGGCCTGAGAAATGTCGTGTTCTGCGAGCTGGTCTTGAATAGGCGCAGCAATGACACTAGTACCAGGTGGTTTTGACAGTGACGGTGCCTACAATTACCACTCTTCTCCTTCGAGCCAAATCTTCGCGGGGAAAGCGATCAGCATCGTTGCAGACTTGGACGTGACTGTGGCCGCGCTGGGTAAGCAAGTAATGCTTCGACACCCCGACTTTCCGGGCAAGGTCACTTGCATCGAAGATATTGAAAAATTGGTTCAGGATGTGCACCAAATCCATTTGTGTGCCGGTGGGCCAAGCCCTAGGGCATATCCAAACATTGGCCAGCAAGTGCTTTTGTTGATGTCACAGGCCAGTGGTGACAGAAGCGGTGTGCCTTGTTGCTCAAGAGCAGTGAAAGTGCGTGTTCACAGTGCCAGTGCCTCCTAAAAACACTTCAGATTTCTGGACAATGCATGCTGCACAAGGCCTAGAAAAAAGGATGGTGCCCCCGATATTTCTGCTTGACCACTATCCAGAGCTGCAACATAGTTGCTTTCAGAAAAGCCCAGAATGCATTGAAGAAGTAGGGTGAGTGAGTCACTGAGCTGCAGTGGAAGGGCCTTCAAGAGAAACTCTTTTCAATTTATGATGAATTCCTAGAGGATAAGCTCAGCAGCTTGCATATCCCCAAAGCACAAGCAGCAACTGCTGTTAAAGGGATACTGAACCAAGGAATTTAGTGTCCATAACAAGTGGCGCACATTCTTTCCACGAGCCAGCAGCCGCCGGTGTGCGCGAGCCAACGTTACTAAAACACTCAGTTGGGAAACTCGCCGTCGAAACCTGGGCCGCTGGCGTCCACCGAGACCGTGCTAAATGCGACGACAGCGCCACTCTTTATCGTTTGTCTGTACTGTGGTCACCTTGAGCTTTTTGAAAGCCTGTTTTTGCGTAAAAACAAACGGAAAAGACTCTTTTTGTATGAAATTTATTGGAGTTAATTACCAGATGATGGGCGCGTGATGTTTTTATCATCTTTAGTTCGCAAGGTTTTTCGGAACAATTAATATTGTTTTCATACAACTATGCCTCAGCGGGCCTTTCAGGTAGCACGTCCTGACCTAGGTGCATTTTTACGTCGGCAGCTGATTGCGGCGCGTCCGCCGGGGAGACGGGGGTGGCACCCCTGTAACCTCTACCGCTGTATCTGTTCTTAAAGCTAGAAGTCACGTGCAGTTCTTCGACAGGCCGCTGCGGGAGAAATGGTGGCGTTGTGTTCGTCATTAGCTCGGTGCTCGGAGACGGATTAGGGCCACTTTTTCAGAGCTGTCTCTATGGGAGTTTCCCAACTGAGTGTTTTAGTAACGTTGGCGCGAGCACACGCAAGAAAAATGACGTCAGAGACCTCCGTTCGCAGTTAAGATGACAGTGAAATGGGCTTCGGGCCAAAGGAGAATAAAGACAAGTTTTTTATCTACACATTGGTTTCTGGTGTAAAAGGTAAGCGATTAATTGGCCTAACAAGCACGTATACCTTTCACTTGTAGAGATGAAAAGCCTGTCTTTATTCTCCTTTGGCCCAAACCCCATACATTTCACTGTCATCTAAACCGCGAATGGAGGTCTTTGACGTCATTTTCGTTGCGTGTGCTCGCGCACACCGGCGGCTGCTGGCTCATGGAAAGAACTTGCGCCACTTATTATGGACACAAAATTCTTTGGTTCAGTATCCCTTTAAAGAGTGTATAACAGCTGTCAATTATACAGGGAAAAAACAAAAAAAAAAAAACAGACTTTACACACTGAGTAGTGGCTCGTGCTCTGCCTTCTCTTGCACGTCTCCAGCCCGCTAGGGTAAGGGACACTGACAGGGTATTTATACTCGTTAAGGTTTTTAATTGTGCATGACATTTCAGAGCCCAACTACCCAGAACACAATTTACGGCTCGAAATTTGTTTTCTTTCCGCCCGAAAACTGCCGATCGAGAACTGGCCATTTTGAGTCGTGCTCACTCTCTTTTTCCGTGGTCACGAGATTTAGACACAACCACCAAGAGTAATCAGAGTCATGGGTCATCCAAGGCACAGACTCAATGCTAAAAATAGACTGAAAATAAGACACCCATTTTTTGTGACTTCTAAAACATAGGAAATGCGCTGTTTGAAAAGAAAAAAAAAAAAAAGCTGCACACCAGTTATTTAGTTGGGTTTGGAGATTTGTGTTTGTCCTTTGTCCCCCTTGTTCCCCTCCTCGGGGGATTATTTTCGTCATTCTTGTCCAGCTCACTTGCACTTTTGCATATAATTGCATTATAATAATAACTGTACAGCCACGTGACCTCCTGTAACTTTCTCCTCCTCTACATTTCTTCTTCCTGCCAAGTTTAGTTTCGATTTCGAGCATTTGCGTTTTCTGACTTTGTTAAAAATATATCTGACGCTATAGCAAAATATTGATTGTGTAGTCTTCCGAGACCATACTAAATCGCCTAATAAAAAATTAAAAAAAAAAATTGGGGGAGTGTCAGTGTTTTTTTAAGAGACAACAATGTCCTTTTTTTGCATATGTATCAACTATAAGGAAGTACTTATCCTTGGTTCATATCAAATGTGACTTTGACACTCGGTTCATCTCTGCTTTCAAGTAAAAGCTGACAACAAGAGACAGTTTTTAGGGGCATGGGATGCTTGTGTTTGATGACATCCATGGCCGACAGGAGATGGGGTGAATGCAAAAAGTATGACCTGCATGGGCCACACAGATTTTGGAAAAAAAGTGGAAGCACCGAAAAAAACCAGCAGCGCATGTACTTCTGTTTTCATTTGATTCTTTTGGAAAAAACTACTAGTACTCACATTCTGCTGTAGTTTTAGCCCACTGTGGCCCTTACAAAAAAAGAAAAAAAAACGCTTTTGCTCAAGTTTGGTGTGACAGGAGTGCTGGTGGGTACAAAGAACAGCTTGCATGTAGCGGTGTTTTTAAGACACGAAGGCTGAAGTCTGAAGGCCTGTCCAAAACTGTT